CTCCTAGTACCTTCCTGTGAGGGGTTGACGGGGCCTGAAGCAGTTAGTGGCGCCCTCCAAACTGTTAAGCTGACTAGCTCGTAGTTTATGCACTTCAAACCATGCCATCGAGATGTCGGGCACCTTAAACACCGCTCTCATGTGTCCTGGGTCGCCCTCAGTTCCTAAGTACTGCCATCTCGATATACCAACCAGGTCCTCATTCTGGTAGTCCAGGATTCTGAGTCTGGTGGGATCGATCGCCTCAGCTTCCGCAGAGCCATTCCCTGGTCTCCTCATTTGTGCAGGAGAGGAGGAACCAACCCGGTTCCGCCTGATATCCAGAGTTTTTAAAGGCTAATGGTCTCCTTCTGGGGTGTGGCTCATTGCACCTAAGATCGATTTTGGCTATGCCTGCGTATGAGTTGTGCCTCATCCTATGTGATAGGCTCACCCTCCTGGAGCCCCATTATAACCACCTGCAATGCCCTCCCAGCTGCAGCGTCCCTGTAGGATCGGGTATTCCCCTGATCCAGCTGTGAGGAAGGTCCTGCAACAGAGTCACCGGACCTTCTAGGCGATTGCTTCGGCCTTTTTTTGTCTTGTCGGCGGGTATCCGCAGGTGGGGATTCCTCAACCGGCCTCTGTCTCTTTATATATTTAATGGCAGGGTTGGCCCTTGAAGAGGACGCCCGTACCTGTCTAGCCCGAGAAGGGGTGCTAGAAGGACCAGCCTCCTCTCCCCCCTCCCGTATTGGCTCTAAGGGAGTTCTGGGGAAGTTACTCTCTTGTCTAACTATAGGGTAACGACCGATGGTACTCCCTGATGAATGAAGCTGCCAACGGGTAGCTGGATCAGAGATAGGCGTCTGACGCCCCTCCCTAATGGCCACCCGTTCAGCCTGCCTTTTAATTGCTTCCGCTTGCCTTTTCTTTTTGCGGTAAAGCTTCTTCTTTAATTTGGCCTTTTTGATCTTTTCGGCCTCTTCCTTTGAAATACTTACAGGGAGGACTGACTTTGAGTCCCTCCCTGATCTGTCTCGGTCGACGTAGTTGACCTAAGTAGAGTAGACTCTCTATCAGAGTCCGCCCTTTGGATCAATGGACTAGATGGGAGCTGGTAAATGGTTGTACCACCCTGTTATGTCTAGGTTTAACTTCCTGCCAGCTCCCTCCTTCCGTATCTAGTGTGTCTTGTGCAATCTGGGATGACTGCCCCGTATCTACATCCATTGCAGATGGCACCTCAGGCTGCTCTTCATCTATTCTTTCCATCTGGTATTTTAAATTTTATTATTGTGTTTTGTGTTAAATGTATGATGTAAGTGTAGGTATGCTGCTGTCCCAGCCCCAGTCCCCCTTCTGGAAGAACATGTCAGTGGATGTGAAACGACCAGTATTACAATATCAGTACTTCACTTATAAAAATTGGCGATTAAATTAGCAATAAAACCACAATCATAAAATGTCAAGATCTAGTAATAAATAGTCACATCCTTAATAATTTGCAACCAGATCTATCAGATTTCCTAAATCGCATGATATAAACAAACGTTGACTAGATTAGGAACGAATTACTAAATCAATACTGTGATGTCATGGAAAGGATAAACAGATAAGACCAAAAACTATTCATATCCAGAATGGAACCCATGTGCAAGTTCATTTATTTACACATGTTCACTTATTCTAATATACAACAACAGTTTAATTTTAAACATTGTCATGGTTCACATGAATAATTTAAAAAAAAATGTGAATCCAGAAGATTATCTCATTATCAACACTCACTATATCAATATCGAAACAAAAAAAATGAGTACCTTCCTTCATAAAAACATTATCCAAATAAAAATCGCGAATATCAACCTCTGAAAAATTAAAACCGTCACGAAATACCGCCATTCACAAAACCAATATTCATATGAAAATCATTATCCGCAAAATTCATATAGAATTAAAGAAAAAGCGTCTCGCCATAGGTCAAAGGCGTGTCACGAAAAAAATAAATAAATAACTGGCGTGAAAACAATAACAACAAAAGTCTTTTTCGTCACAGCCCTTAAATCCTAATTCGGTATCGATGTAAACCGTTCAAAGTAATGATTTCCACCATTTATTAGAAGAAAATAAAAATTAAAAACGAGGCTAGCGGACCTGGAAGTCTAATTTAACAGTTTTTTTAGATCTCGGAAAGCCGGAGCCATAATCACCTCTTCTTCTTCTTTCTCTAGCTATTTTGTGCCGTTAAGCGTGGAGCTGCAGTGCCAGTCCATCTTGCCCACTGGTCTCTGTCCCTGGCTAGCCATCTCATCTCCGCTATGGTGCGTCCTCTTGCTCTGCCCAGTTTAGCAATATAATCATGGTAAGTGTGTCTCGGCCTACCACGAGGTCGTCTGCCTTCCGGTCTTGCTTCCATAAACCACTTGGCTTTTCGGGTGTCGTCCATTCTGCAGATGTGCCCGAACCATTTCAACTGCTTCTCTTCCAGGATGCCACGGATTGATGTCACCTACAATTCCTCACGGATTCTGTCATTTCTAACACAGTCCCTCCTAGTCTTGCCCAGCTATTCTTCGGAGGAATCTCATTTCCGCTGCTGTGATCCTGCCTATGTGCTTATCGAGGGTTGTCCAGTTTAAGATCCATAAAGAAGTACTGGGAGGCACATCGCCTTATATATCGTGAGTTTAGCCTTTCTGCTTACTTCCCGTTTTCCTATGATTGTATTGGCTATCTGGTAAAATATCCCATTGGCCTTCATCACCCGATTTAGTACCTCCTGGTCTATTTTACCATCTTCATTGATGATTGTCCCCAGATACGTTTATGCATTGTTACCTCTAGGGGTTCGCCATTACTAAACATCATAGGCTCCACATTATCTTTTCCAACATATATAACCTTGCTCTTATTTGGGTTTATATGCAGCCCTCGCAGCTTCAATTCTTCTTCCCACTCGACCAATGATGTATGTAGAGCCTCTTGTGAGTCCGCTATAAGAATTATATTGACGGCATACAGCACAGCTTGAGCCAACACTGGTGTCAAATTCCAATATCCCACAACAGCCCTTGGGGTTCTTCTTTTACACACTTTTTAAATTTCATCCATGAGAAGGATAAAAAGCAGAGGACTAAGACTACCCCCTTGCTTTACTCCTTTATGAAAGTGGAAAGGTTCTAATGTGTGTCCATTGAGCCTTATTACACTCTTTGGGTCTTGATATATTGATTTAATTGCACTCGCCAAGTTTGCAGGTATTATTCTTCTAATTATGAGTCCCATATCTCTTGTCTCAGAACTGAGTCGAATGCGGCCCTAAGATCTAGAAATGCTAGATAAACCGATTTTCCACGATCCCATGCTTTTTCCACAATCATCCGTAGTGAGAATATGTGGTCTTGGGTCCGTCCACCGGGTCTGAAAGCGGCTTGCTCCTCCTCTAGACCTTGCTCTACTATATGCCTTAGTCGATTTCAAGCATTCTTGTGTATATCTTGTACACAACTGACGAGAGGTATATTAGCCTATAGTTCCCGCATTCGCTTTGGCTGAATTTCTTGTGAATAGGGATTATGATATTGTTCTCCCATTCTCGTGGTATCAGCTTGCGGTCCCAAATCTTTTGGAAAAGAGTTTGAAGGATCTTGATCATTTCGTTGCCTCCGTATTTAATTAATTCTGGAGCTATTTCATCTGGTCCTGGTGCTTTTCCCATTTTGATTCTGGCCACTGCCGTTTCCACCTCATCCTCGCCTATTGCGTCATCCAAGTCTTCCGGGTAAACCTCTTCCACCATCACTCTTCTTCTGCAGTCTCTGTGATTATGGCGTCGGTGTTCTTCCATACTAAATTTTTCCTGGAAGAACTGTCTCTAAACTTCCAATACCTCTTTTTATTCAGTCACCAACTTGCCATTTGCATCTTTTATATTTCTGATCGGTTTTGACTTTTTGACTTTCAGAGCTTTTGCAATATGCCAGAATCTCTTTATATTCTCTATAATCCTGTTTTAGCTCCTGACCGAACTGCTCCCAGGTCGTCTTCTTGGTTGATTTAATTATTCTTTTGGCCTCATTTCTGTACTTAACATATTCTTCCCAGTGGATAGGTAGTTTCGTTCTACAGTATGTTTTCTTGAGCTTTAATGCTCTTTTCACCTCATCGTTCCACCATTTTTTTTTTTCATGGTAGACGGTCTCATGTTCTTAATACCGCATACTTCACTAGCTGTATCGATGATGCAATCTTTAATTTCTTTCCAAAGAGTATCCAATTCACTATCTCCGTTTATTAACTGAAGGCGGCTCTTCAGAATTGTTCTGTACTCTTCTTGTTTTCAATTCTTAACATCAATAATATAAATCCAGTGTAATTACCGTCTAAAAACCGTAATTTCATCTCACTATGACAAATAAAATATTTTACTGGCAAAATAGGACTTGCTTTTACAAGTCTTACAGCTAAAAACAAACAAACAAAAATATTTGTGTTGTTTAATGACTTTATCTCTTGTACGTTGAGTTAAACTGCGGACTGGAGGCCCTCTCAATGGTCTGCCCTTCCGTTTCGTAAAATTCCATTTAAGCAATAACATAAATACATAGTACGTTTTCTAGAAACTTATATATTTTTATTTACCACCAATTTTCAATAAAAAAATTATTAAAGATTATAGATACTTTTAGGCGAGCTATCTTTTTCAGTATCAAATCTACATTAATTTATATTTCGTGTAAGAGAGAAATGAGAACGGAGAAACGTGTGAAAGAATAACCAACAGATCTTTGCTTACGATGATTAATAAATCACACCAAACCTTTGAAGGTGCGTTTAGACATTTCACAAACTATGGGACAAAAAGATATATAAATAATTATTTCACTATGCCAGTATTTTTGTTTCTTATTTTTGATATTTTCCATCTACTTTCGTTATCAAGAAAAATTAAATGAATAGTTTCTTCAACAATAATGTCACTGTTAGTTAAGTTACATAACAGTATTTCGCGTAATCTTCCCATAGTGAAATCTCTAAAAACATCTTATTATTTTCCTGAACAAATATCAAATACCAATTAATCCGTTCCTCTTCTACTAACATCGTTTATATTACAGATTTTATTATTTTTATTATTATTTGTAATATTAAAGTTACGAAAACTTGTTAGACTTTTAAAAATTTACTAATATTATTACGTGAATCCAAAAGCAATGAATAAAATTTGTTCTTTCCTCGCTGATATTGTTCTAATTATTACACATGGTAGGTGAACTACCTCTATGCTTCAAGTTTCGACAGCCATTTCTTGTAGTATTCAAATTGTCATATTATCTAAGATTAAGAGGTAAGTTTTATAGTATAATTATTATGAATGTATGTTGTATAATGATCAGTATGCGAAAACAACCCTTAATCTCTTGCTTTTATTAGAATGTCAGCATTACAGCAAGTAAATTAATTGTTTCTATTTTATTATTTTCTTGACCTAACACATATCTTTTCAATACTACACAATATTATTTGATTTGCTGTGTTATACTTCATAGTAATATTTTCTATTCCGAAGATTTTATAATAAATTAATATTCCCAATCTTATAATATTAGAATTTAATTTTTCGGCAAACCAAATGTCATCTTCATCCAAGAGAAAAGTTTTGCTTGAAGACACAGTTGTGGCTACTCCCATGCCCCAAGCATCATCTACAGTGGACAAGTACAAAATGAATTGGTAGGTGGTTACTTATTACCTTAATTAATCACTGTACTTATTTATGTTTATGGTTTTATGTATTTCAAATTCACTCACGCTATTCATCACAAATGTTTCTCCTTTTTGATGGGTAGGATAAGATCTCATAATCACATAGTAAATGGAATTCTAAGTATCCGTTGTATATGAAGATGATCGAACCATCTGCTAAGGCCCCATCCACAACTGATAAGGACCCATTAGAGGTTTGTTTTATCAATTAGGAGTGAACGGAAGTTGAAAGCAGCAATGTAGATAGTAATTACTTAAAGCTAATTCAGTCCCAAATTTTAATTGAAAATCGGGAGTTTAGGTATGTCATAAATCTTGATCTAATTAAAGGGACATTATAGTGGGAACTTTTTCTACATTAGCCCAGCCCATTCTCAGAATTCTATCTATAGTGTGATCATGAAATCTTGGCCCACCCATTAAAGTAAGACTACACTTGTAAAGTAGTATTTCCCTTATTTTTAAATTAAGAAGCATGACATTATAATTACGTTAAATCTCCTCTTGAAGATTATATATATATATATATATATATATATATATATATATTTCTATATTCATTACCACCATCGATACTCCAAGCCAAATGGAACTTAAAAACGACCATGATTGTGAAATCGCATGTAAATTTTGTCATATGGAGCAGCTGAAATTTTACTGGCCCTAAACTTACTCCATCACACTGGAAAAATTCAGTCACTCCAACTCTCCTTGAGTGTGATAAATGGTGGACTGCATAGTTTTTAGGCTGTGCTATACATATAACAATTGTTAATACATTAAAAAAATAAATTTTTGAGGATTTATAATTTATAGTTCAAGTATGCTTAAAATATCCACTTTTTTTTTTAATTTTAGCATTAGGTTATAATTGGAAAAATTACAACCATACAGCATTCTGTCTCTAAATGAACTGTTTTTAATCCAAACAGTGGTTAATCCTCCATGGCTTAATTTGTAGTGATCGTCAGGGCTGTCTTAAAGTATGAATTACCCATGTCTTTATTTACATGTTGTGTAATTTTTTTCATAATTATTATGCATCTGCTATTTCAATGATGTAAATATTTTTTGAAATACCATTATCTGCAAAAATAATTTATCTCATCTTTTTACAAACAATAATGGTATTTAAAACCCTGTTTAATTTTTTTTAAAACATCATAATTATCTTATTAATTTGAGTTTTTATTTGTCAGTATTTCATGTTTGAATGTTATATGTGTCAAAGTAATTTATTAATTTTCATCAAATTTTTATTTTAATTAGTTACGGAAAAGAAACGATACCAGGTAGAGCTCCAGAAAAAAATACACTAGAAATCGGAGAACTTGCTTTGCAACGGAGGAAAGCAGCTTTATCTGAATTGGAAAGAAAATTGGAATGTATTTCACCTTATTGGAGTGAAGAACAACCTCTAAAGACTACCAAAAGTTCTAGCTCATTGTTTGGTACATATTGTTTATATCTATATATATATATTTTTTTTTTTCTTTAGTTAAATATATTTCTCGAGTTGATATATTTACTTTACTGAATATATTTTTTTCAAAAAGTTTTACCTTTTTAAATTTTTTGGTTTCCTGCCTGATAGATTCATTTTAAGTCCCTATGACCAGATAACCAATGAAAGTTAATATATTTTTAAGTAGTATGTTATTTATTTAAAAAAATAAGACACTTGCACAACAAACAAACAAAAATTTTGCTTTAATCTTTATTTATTTATAAAACAGAATATGTAAACACACTTATTAATAGGACTTCAAGACATATACACTCACTTGAACACCATGTCATCTAGGTAGTCAGTTTCTTTTTTTTTTCTTCAAATTATTATCGTTATATATATATGAAACAAGCAAGAATATATATAAAAGCAAAAGCATTTTTAAAAATAACTTAACCTAAGTCCAGTCTAGCAGCGGATACAATCAGCTATTATTTCTCGGCTCGATACTGTTGCAAAACAAATTGAACGTCAGTCTCTCTGCTCCAGTGTGAGTGAGAGAATGTGAGAATATCCAAATAAAAATAAATCCAAAAATGCAAGATTATATACAGTACCGTACGATAGAGAGCCTCTCCTTGGATTTTTTTAGTGATTTTCTAGGCATTCATAATCACATTATGGCATTACAAACCAATCCAAGTATCCTTTGTAAGAACGAAAGACAATTGACTAGTCACAATCAGCTGTTAAATAAATAACTATATAAGATTTTGAAATATTATTATATGAAATAAAATTGTTGTTCACTCAAAAAAATGAAAGCTCTATTATGATTTTGGGAAATGGAGGTTTCTCATTTTTTTTTTTTTCAGATTAAATACCAGATATTCCCTTCAATTACCTATTAAATTCAGTAACAAAAACATATATTAATATGAATAATAAAAACCAATATTAATAATAAATTCTTTAGTATATGTATAATAAATTCTTAAGTATCCAGGTGTAGCAGCTGAATTGAAAAATATGTTTATACTTAATAAAGAATCTGTTAGGGGTATTATTATTTCAACCATTGGCCTGATACCAGTGTCTTCTATGGAAACTACTGACAGGTTGGGCCTTGGGTTATAACAGATACTAAAGCAGGAGACAAGTTTTGATTAGTCTAACTATTTTGTGTTTTTCAGATGGTTTCAGCAATTTTTGTTCTTTGTGGAAAACTAGATCTGGTTCTCCTTAAAATAAAAAAAAAGTATTCCTGCACCATCTATTTTTACTTTCCCTTACCTATATTGTTCAAAAATAAATAACGGGAGTATCTTAAAAATAAAATAATTGAAATAGAAACTAATAGAATCGAAAATAAAGTAAGAGACATGTGCAAAGGTATAAACAGATCACGTAAATGTTTAGGGCCCGTAACGTCTGGAATCAGCGATGAAAATAACAATATTCTGACCGATCCGGTTGACATATTAAATAAGTTTAAGAAATACTTTGACAATATTTTAAATACGGGAAATTATGATCTGTGTCCTCCTTCTGAGTACCAGAGTGCTGATAGAAGAACCGAGTAAAGAGGAAGTTGAAGTAGCTATCGAAAAATTAAAATCTTATAAAGCAGCGGGAACCGATAATATTCCTACTGAACTAATAAGCCATGCGGGGAAGTTGGAGTGTCCAAAATACATTTGTTGGTTAAAAAGATCTGGGAGAACGAGAAATTACCTGAAGAATGGAAGGAATCTATTCTTATTCCGATTCACAAAAAGGGCCTGAGGATGGATTGTAATAACTATCGAGGAATATCACTCCTCCGGTATGTTATAAAATATTCAATTTAATATTAACTAGTAGAATCACGGAATACGCCGAGGAAATTATCGGAGACTACCAATGCGGATTTCGACGGAATCGTTCGACTACTGATCAAATATTTTCTTTACGGCAAATATTAGAGAAAAAATTAGAGTACCATGGTATTGTTCACCAGCTGTATATCGATTTCAAAAAGGCTTACGATTCTATTGACCGCCAGAAAATGTATAATATTCTAATCGAGCAGGGGATTCCAAAAAACTAGTAAATCTAGTCAGGATGTGATAGACGGAAACAGTCAATAAAGTTAGAATCGGTAATAATCTGTCCGAAAAGTTTGAGGTTCGTTCAGGTATAGGCTATAAAACAATTATCTTGCCTACAGTTCTTTATGGATGCGAAACTTGGCCGCTTACATTAAGGGATGAGCAGCGTCTTAAGGTTTTTGAAAATAAAGTATTGCGTAGAATATTCGGACCGAAGAAGGATGAGTTAACCGGAGAGTTCAGACGGTTACACAACGCCGAATTGCGTGAGCTGTATCCGGGTAATACGCAATACTTTATTTTCAAAAACCTTAAGACGCTGCTCATCCCTTAATGTAAGCGGCCAAGTTTCGCATCCATAAAGAACTGTAGGCAAGATAATTGTTTTATAGATTCTAATTTTTAAGTTGCGGGACAAGAGGCGCGAACTAAGTAGTTTTGTCACAGAAAAATAACAAGCATTCCTCGCCTTCAGTCTAACCTTAATCTCTTCTTTAATTTCGTTTTTTCTAGTTATCGAAGAACCTAGATACCTAAATTTATCTACCTGTTCAAACATATTACCATCTATATCGATATCACCAGTAGTATCGCCATTTTTGCAGCTAACCATATATTTTGTTTTATCCACGTTTATTTCGAGTCCTAGTTCTTTACCGGCTTTCATTGACGTTGTCGTATTTAGTTTTATAGTTTCAACATCTTCGCTTAACAGTACCAGATCATCAGCATAGCCCAGCACGGATGTTGTCCCGCCCAGATCCAACCCTTTCTCGGTTCGCATTACCTCCCTAATGGCATGTTCTAATGCCAAATTGAACAGGACAGGCAAAAGGGAATCCCCCTGTTTCAAACCTGAACGAACCTCAAACTTTTCGGACAGATTATTACCGATTCTAACTTTATTGACTGTTTCCGTCTATCACATCCTGACTAGATTTACTAGTTTTTTGGAATCCCCTGCTCGATTAGAATATTATACATTTTCTGGCGGTCAATAGAATCGTAAGCCTTTTTGAAATCGATATACAGCTGGTGAACAATACCATGGTACTCTAATTTTTTCTCTAATATTTGCCGTAAAGAAAATATTTGATCAGTAGTCGAACGATTCCGTCGAAATCCGCATTGGTAGTCTCCGATAATTTCCTCGGCGTATTCCGTGATTCTACTAGTTAATATTAAATTGAATATTTTATAACATACCGGGAGGAGTGATATTCCTCGATAGTTATTACAATCCATCCTCAGGCCCTTTTTGTGAATCGGAATAAGAATAGATTCCTTCCATTCTTCAGGTAATTTCTCGTTCTCCCAGATCTTTTTAACCAACAAATGTATTTTGGACACTCCAACTTCCCCGCATGGCTTATTAGTTCAGTAGGAATATTATCGGTTCCCGCTGCTTTATAAGATTTTAATTTTTCGATAGCTACTTCAACTTCCTCTTTACTCGGTTCTTCTATCAGCACTCTGGTACTCAGAAGGAGGACACAGATCATAATTTCCCGTATTTAAAATATTGTCAAAGTATTTCTTAAACTTATTTAATATGTCAACCGGATCGGTCAGAATATTGTTATTTTCATCGCTGATTCCAGACGTTACGGGCCCTAAACATTTACGTGATCTGTTTATACCTTTGCACATGTCTCTTACTTTATTTTCGATTCTATTAGTTTCTATTTCAATTATTTTATTTTTAAGATACTCCCGTTATTTATTTTTGAACAATATAGGTAAGGGAAAGTAAAAATAGATGGTGCAGGAATACTTTTTTTTTTATTTTAAGGAGAACCAGATCTAGTTTTCCACAAAGAACAAAAATTGCTGAAACCATCTGAAAAACACAAAATAGTTAGACTAATCAAAACTTGTCTCCTGCTTTAGTATCTGTTATAACCCAAGGCCCAACCTGTCAGTAGTTTCCATAGAAGACACTGGTATCAGGCCAATGGTTGAAATAATAATACCCCTAACAGATTCTTTATTAAGTATAAACATATTTTTCAATTCAGCTGCTATACCTGGATACTTAAGAATTTATTATACATATACTAAAGTGGCAAAATGGCAATACTTCCATCTACTCAACTCAAGCTCTGTAGGACATCCTCTCTCTTGTCGTTCCAAACAAATAGTGACCCTACCAAACAACAAGTGAACTCCTTTGTTCATTCCCTAGCCGCCATTTTCTTCTTTGAGGAAATTCCATAGCAGCCATTTTCTTTTTCCCGAACTATTTTTGAACTATTAACGTGAAACTATTTTTCAAATTTAAACATCCCCTGACATCAGCATAACTAGATTAGTTTGCCTTTTAACTGTTCAACATTAACTAATTAAATCATTTTTACCAACTTTCAATAAAGATGTATATGAAATATATAGTAAGGGAAAGTATCATGAAAATTTTCAAATCTGTGTTTTCAACGGAAATACATGTTTTGAGGTCCCCTGAGTCCAAACAACTAAGTCCCGCAAAATGGTCTCTGTATGTGTGTCTGTGAACAGCCTATCTTAAAAACAAAAAGTCGTTTGGAACTGAAATTTCGTATTTAAGGTTTTTTACATGCCCAGTGATGTTAGAGCAACTTTTTTGTAAAAATTGGATCATTTAAGTCTTATTCTCATTGATGTCACTTAACAGGGCTTAAATGCCAAATGTCCAAAATTGCTTCTTCTTTGGTTTATTTTAACTATCCTTAATAATTAACTATCTCATTTTAGCAGTTATGGCTAAATATAACTTTTGAATGAATTTAATAATTGAATAAAGGATGAAAAAAAAAATGTTTATTTAGGTCGAAAATGAATCTTTGCAATTAATAGTCAGAAGGTATACGTACAATATATATTGTCAGAAAGCTGAGAATTTTAGAAAAAACAATATCTAATATAGAAAATCGTAAAAGGTAATGGAGAGTGACGAAAAAATAAAATAAAATTTTCTAACGAAATATAAACTTTTAAAATATGTCCAATTTTGAAAAAAAAGTATATAGAATCCACCAAATAAAGGCAATGGCATTGTTTAAAAAACCATTTCACAGTACTTTTGTGAAAGAAAAATTAAAGCCTGTACCACTTACAACCCATGAAGGGTGGGTCTTGGGTTAAGTACAATGTGAGGAAGTACTGTTACAAGGCCAACGGTTGTGCAAGGAGGTGACGGGCCAATATGACGTTCAACCACCAGGTTTTCCCCCTTAATCAATTTCTTGATTAAGAGTACCCACGTTATAGAGGCTGGGTTTGTCCCAGAAGGGTCTCCCGGCCCCGGGGTTGACCCTCGACTATAAAAAATTAATAGTCATCAGCCGGATTCGAACCTGGGACCTTGAGCTCTTGATGTCAGTGCTCATTCACTGAGCCACCCCACACTAAGAAGAAGTAAAATGTGAAAATATTTTATGGGTGTGTAAAACATATGTTTATAACCTTTAATATATTTAATATAGTTAAATAACTCTAGATCCGATATTATATTTAAGTAATTAGGTATCTTTCGTTGGTTTATTCCGAAAGTTCGTGATGTGACATTTTATAAAATTAAATTAGTGAACAATTTGATGACTTTTCCCTCTTGTGAAAATCAGTACATTATCTCTTTCAATTATTGTGACAACTTTTGACTTATCGGTTGTAAGCAATGAAAATATCGTAACTCCATTTTATTAACTTTACGATTGGTTAATAAAAGTTTAATTGTAGTAGTATCCATAACCATTGATTGGTTAAATCGCCGGCACCATGTTAAAGTAACGAATGTTTACCTGCCCAACGTTTCACATTTGTTACTTTAACAATAACAAATGTACTTTCAAATCTCGCTAGGCATATGTAGCTCAGAGACTGGAGTTATGTGGAACAAAACAGACTGTGTTAAGAGGTTTTATTGCCTACCGTTGATATAATAAATATGGTTTTTGTTCTTTTAATGGTCTTAATGATATGTTAGCTGTAAGGTTTAAGCTTTAGCTCTGTTAAAAATGCAGCCTAACATAGCCAGAAAATAATATCTATTCAAAGCAGAACGGTTAGTGAAATTTGTGTGATTTACAAGTTTTTAGTACCTTATTAAATGGATAATGTTTGTCATTCTCCAGATTGAAAACGCCCCAATTCCGAGAATTTTCGTAAATAAAATAGTTGTAGGTTACGATCAGAAGAAGCTATTTACGAAGTTCTAGGCGAATGTTAATAATTTGATAAAAAGGTGTGTGTACCTCGGACTATAATGCTATCTAGTTTTGTCTGTATTAATGAATTTAATTGCAATCTTCCATTTATTTATTTTAATTATAAATTAATGAACAATATAATATTAAATTTATAAGTTTATTAGTTTTTTAACTAATATTATTATTTTTGTGTACTAATTTTTTAGTAATATTTTCTACCTTTTATTTTAGGTGATTCGACATTGGGAATGAGTCATCCATCCTTTTTAAAAATGGATGCGTAAGTTTCAAAATATTGTAATATTTCTTATTTTTGAACTAATATTGACTTCTGGAATATCACTTCAATACTGTTGGGATACTTCTAAAAGCAATAAGAGGTTGTTAAATAAAAAACAAAATTATAAGCGTATTAAATATATTAAATTTAAATTTATAATTATTTTATCTCAGGTATGGGTTGGTTACTGACAATCAGATCAAAAGACTCAGACAGACTAACATTAACTAAACTAAACATTGTTTGATTTTAATATAAAGTCAAGTATGAATTGGCAAGCTAACCTTTTTGATGTGGATATGAGCATCCCTACCAAACTAGTTCGTCTAGTAGAAATGACGATGGAGGACAACGTATGCTTTGTCAGAGTGGGTGGAATGCTATCAAGAGGATTCACAATGAGGACAGGTGTGAGGCAGGGTGATGGCTTGGACCGTTTAGTGTTTAACTTTTCCCTTGAGAAAGCTATTAGGTACTCTGGTATCCAAGTAACAGGAACACTTCTCAACAAGGCAGTCCAGATTTTAGGATTTGCGAATGACTTGGATCTTGCAGGAAGGACTCTTAACGCCATAAGAGAAGCTTTTAAAGCATCAGAGGAATCTGCAGCAAGACTGGGCCTAATGGTGAATGTTAAAAAAACGAAATATAGTGCACCCTACCTACTCACGAAGATGGTGGGAGTCATGTCTCGATAGGTTGCCATAGATTTGAAAGAGTGGAATCATTCATATATCTAGGATCCCAGGTCAACCGTAATAACTCCTTGATTTGTAGAAGAAATCCAAAGACGGTTCCTCTCTGCAAATCGCACTTATTTCTCCCTCCATAAACTTTTGAGAAGTAGTGTGTTTTCGAAGACCTCGAAAGTGAGAATTTATTAGACAATTATACGACCAGTTCTTACATATAGCTCAGAATGTTGGACTACAACTAAAGCCCTTGAGCATCTCCTTCTCTGTTTCGAAAGAAAAGTGCTTCGCCATATATATGGTGGTATATATGAAGGAGGTGCATGGAGAAGAAGAACGAATGCTGAATTAAGAGCGAGGTACAAAGAAATAGACGTATCAACGTTCGTATAGGTATCAAGACTTCGCTGGGCTGGTCACGTCATAAGGATGGATCCAAATGAAGATCCTTACATGATCTTAGCTGGGCAAATGTATGGTACCAGGCGGGTTGGACGCCCCAGGCTTCGCTGGGAAGACTGCATGGCTGCAGACGCGATATCTCTGCTCGGTGTTATGAACTGGTAGGCAGCAGCACGGAGCAGGGAGGACTAGCGGTCTAAGTTTGAGCAGGCTATGACTCAAATAATGGGTCGTAACGCCGAATAAGAAGAAGACTTATGTTTCTCATACCTTGTTATCTGGTTCTTTTCTTAGCCCTGATGAATGCCTGAACTTCAGGTTGAAACGTTGACAAATGTCAAAATAATTATTATCATTTATTTTTGCCTTCCTATTTGACTGATCACCCCAACTATTCTTCTCTTCATTATTCACGACAGTCAACCATTTACCCACAATTATGAAAATATATTTTATTATTCTGGGACTGTTGTCCCTTTAGAACAAATTATAAGTGCTAAATTCATGTGTAAGTGGTCAAATAGTAGATGTTTACAATATAGTCATTTAAAAGTAAAAATACAGACGAAAAGACTTAAAAAGCGTAAATATACATACATAATAATCGTACATAATGCAAATGGAGAAAACTAAAATAACAGAAATTTTTTGGGGGTACTTAGATAGCTCTTTTAGGTATATATCATGATCAGGCAAATTGAGAATGGAGTAGGTGTTTAAAGCGGAGGGGTTTGAAAGAGGAAACTGATTGCGTGTGTCGAATATCAGCAGGGATGGAATTCCAGAGTGAGGCGGCTTGAATTGCAAATGATTTGTCATATGCAGCAGTTCGTTGAGGAGGTGGATAGAGGTCTAGTAGGACAGGTTTGGATGGAGTATTTAAGTTTTAAGCTATGGAAAATATAGGAGGGTCGATGAGTTCTAATGATCTGGTACAGAAAGGTAGCTAGGAAGTACTGGCGGCGATAGGATGGATAGAGCCACTTTAACTTGGTGTAATACTGGGTAATATGTGTATCTCTTGAGATTCCGAAAACAAAATGTAATGCACAATTCATTAGGCGTTTAAGTTTGGCCTTGAGATCCACTGTGATGGGAGGAAACTAGGATTTGACGGGACTTATATGGAAGGAGATAACGTAAGCGATTGAACTGTTTTAGGGTGGAGATAGTGCGACGGGAAATATGGGAGATGAGCGGTTTCCAGGAGAGGGTTTGATCAAAAATGACACTTAAGTTTTTAACAGAAGTATGGAATAAGATAGATAAGTTGTTCAGGAGAAGGGTCGATTTGTCGGGAACGATTTGAGGAGTGTGGGGGATCCAATCAAGATGGCTTTCGTTTTCTTAGCGTTCAGAGTGAGCCTGTTGAGGTTTGCCCATTCACTTATTCTATTAATATCTTCTTGGATTTTTAGAATGGGATCTGAGGAATCAGTCGAATTGAAGGAAAGGTAAAAATGAACGTCGTTGGCATTCAAGTGGTATTGACAGTGCATGGGATTGAGGATGGGAGGTCATTTATATAGATGGAAAAAAGGGTGGGGGATAGGGAAGAGCCTTGTGGGACACCTCTGGACAAGGGTAGAGATTCAGACGGGGGGCTTTTAGGGATCACAACATACTGGGAGTGACCGGATAGGAAGGATTGGAACCAATTAAGGCACTAGAAGAAAAGGATATATTTTTAACTTTGGTTAGGAGGATGTTGCGGTCTACTGAATCAAAAGCTTTAGAGAAGTCAAGGAGAATAAGGATGGTTAGTTTCTGCTGATCTATGGCTCAAGTTACGTCTATTAGGAAATCCTTCCACCTTGTAGTTGTAAAACAGGTGGCATTATCACTTAAACACTTTAATGGAGTGTCAACTTGTTTAATATAGTAAAGGATAGACTTTCAGGCACCAAACAAATTGGCTTTCCTAGTAGGATATAATTTTACAAATTTGGTAAAATTATCAATAACTTTAGCAATTAGTTTTCTTAATTTGTGACTGTTAAACCGTTCCCTAATTATGGAAAAACATTTATTTACCCCAGAGTGTGACAACTTTTCATGTACTAATTTAATCAAGTTGGTCATATCTTCTTTATTTAAATAAATCAAAAAATTATTTACTAAGAGTCTGGAAATAAAGCCTCTAAAATTCTGTAATTGTTGGGTTCTTTGTCCATCATTTGTATTAGTTCCTGGTCATTTCTTTGGTTTTTGATTAGTTCTTGAAAAAATTTAGTTTCCTCAAGCAAATTTACTTGAAAATCAGTTCCTTTTTACTCCGGTTCATCTGTAGGATGTATACTGAAACAAAGTTGGCAGATAAGTCCTTTTCAGGATGAAATAAAATTCAATTTACTGTAGACATAAAAGTTATTTTAATCTATAATATATTGACCATTATTTAATATGATTTTTTCCCATCATTCCACTAACTGCATAATGTCATGTTCATAGAATGTCTGGAGTTTATTGTTAAAAAACTGATCCAAGTGGTTTTTGTTGTCCTTTTCCTTTTAAAATTTCTTTCCATTCATGGAGTTTTGCAGAGACCAGAATAAGTGGTAGTCACTTGGAGCTACATCTGGTGAACAGGGAGGGTGGAACAAAAGGTCCCATCCAAGGCTCAATAATTAATCGCGAGTGATCAATGAGGTGTGGGACCTAGCGTTGTCTTGGAACTCCGATGGAAGTCCGATCATTCATAACTTCAGAATGTTCTCCAAATTTGATATTACTATATTCGTTGGAAAGCTGAATTATTGCTCTTCAAAGCCGTATGAATGTTTTTTTTATTTAATGCCTAAATAAGGAATAAATTAACAAAAACTCTTTATAGATTTTTATTTTTTATCTCCATTCGTAGTTTGTTTACGAAGGTCCTTTTGTGTAGTTTATGTGTTCCGAAATTCCTGCTAAATTTCTTATAGATAGCTAAAGTCGTATTGAAGATATAACATTTTTTGTGATTTTCAAAAAAAAACATTAAGCCTGGAAACAGCCGAGCTTGTGCAAATGGTTTTCTATGCTTGTGTGCGACACATTTAGGGCCATAGCAATCTCTCGCACTGATGTATAGGATTTTGATCGACAATGGCCTTAACATTGCTCGTTTCAATTTCATGTGAGCGACCAGACTGTTGAGCATCATTGATGTCTAAATTTCCTAAATGAAATTTTCGAAACCAATTTTGACAGGTGCGTTCGGTTAAGGTATCATCCCCATAAACACTGCAAATTTCTCTATGAGTTTCTGCAGCACGCTTACCTTTTTTAAAATAATACAACAAAATATGCTAATGAATGATATTTTCTTCCATTTTCACAGTGCAATAGCAAACACAATACTAAGCTAGTTTCTTGATGTCCTCTTGATTGTTTTCAAGGACTGCTGTATCATCTTCATATCAAAGGATTTTATGATTCATTCCAACCACCAATCCATTTTCACATGATATAGTTATCACCTTATCCAGTGCTAAGTTAAACAATATCAATGAGTCCATCTCCTTCCTATAAGCCTGTCTGTAGCCACATTGGCTTTCTAAGCACCACTTCCATTCTTATGAAGATACAAAAAAATGGGTAGATTCTTGGATAGCCTTAAAAAATGGGTAATTTTTGTGATGCAGAATTTATAAACTGCCCTCAAGACGAGATAAATTAGTGGCTAGTCATTTACTTCAAATAAATCATTAATTTTCACAAAAAAAAAAAAAAAAATAGCAATAGCTTGTTCAAGGTCCTAGTATATATATATTATATATGCTCTGACTAAAATTATTTATGATGGTATATTTATGTTTCAGATTAATGGAAGAAAGTGGTTTCACAAATTTGTATAACGAGTCAGATTTAGAACATGAAGAAAGAAAGAGACTTAAAAATTCCAGCTATCTACCTTCGAGTCAAGTGGATTTCTCTTTCACTGTTCAGAATAGTAAAATTGAACCCCCAGAGTAAGTTTTATTAAAAAAATGTGTATATTGTCTTTTATTATTTAAGTGATATCTTCTTGTCTAACTGTAGTATTATTGAATGCCAATGAACTATATTTCTATTAACAGCCAACAAAATTGGCACATTTAGAGTTTTCATTTTGTAATGTTATGCTTGCAAGTTATCGTCTGTCAAGGAGCATCTATATTTACTCTTACTGGTCTTGATGAACTTTGTTCACAATTATATGTAACCTATTACGTGTATTTGTGATCAAATTTCCCTAGGTTAGACAATTTCTGATTTTGTCAAAAGGAAGTAGAATCGTTGATGTCATTTTTTTTTTCTTTTAGCACTTTCATTTATTGATCTGCACCTGTCAATTTCAACCATCGGCGATCAACAGATAATCGTAAGAGAAAAAAAAAAAAATATATATATATATATATATATTTAAAAAGGCTTGATAGGCATGAGGAAAAGGAGGGTTGTATAAGATCTGCAGCCATTAAAATTTGAATGGGCTTATGGCGGGGAGCTGGACTTTCACCGATGTTGGAGAAGAGAATTAGAAGATGATTAGAACATCGCATGAAAATGGAGTAGTCCACGTCGGAATGAATCATAAAATCCTTTGTTATGCAGATGATATTGCTGTCCTTGGAAGTAATCAAGAGAACATTGAGAAACTTCCTGAGCATCTGATAAGAGAAGCAAAGCAAATAGGCCTACATGTAAATAAAGATAAAACAAAATATGTGATAATAAGCCAAAAATTCCACCCCAATAACAGAATCTGCAAAGAGGAGAATTCGTTCCTTAGAGTAGAAAAGTTCAAATACCTCGACTCCACAATAACTTTAATGAATGGCCATCTGTCAGAAATAGACCAGTGTATAACAAGAGCAAACAGAGCTTTCTTCTCCCTTTCAAAGGTATTGAAATCCCAAAAAATCTCAAATTTAGGCCTTACAATTCTACGATAAAGCCAGCTCTATTATATGGCTGTGAGACCTAGACACTAACCAGCACCATAGAAGATAGTATTGAAAGATTTGAGAGAAAAATCCTCCGCATGATAATCAGAGCAATCTGGGATCAGAGTACTAACACATGGAGAAGAAAAACCAAAGAGCTGTTTACCTCATGTTATGGAGGCATGTTTAAGATGGGCGGGGCATGTAGCTTGGAGCAATCCATCTGGAAGCCGTTACGTGACAATGCAGGAAAAACATGACAATGAATTGTTTTAAATTAAGTTATACCATCGTTTTCACTCTGACTTCTCTATATATGAAAATACCAGAGTTGTCTTTCCACCATATTTTTTATATACTCAAATACATTTCATTTATAAAATTCCAATTTTTTAACTTAAAAGGTGTTGGTATTGATTTTAAATTTTAGTAATTATTGCTTTATGACAATTTTCCCTGAAGTTCGATCCTATGGGTGACGTTCCTGTATGAAGAAGAAATTAAACTCTACTTCACATTTTTTTTCCCCTTTTTCTCATTTTCTTATGCAATATTCTAATTATTAAAGAATTATAATTTATTATATTATCATTAAAGATGTATTTAAAATCATTAAAAGTTATAAGTACTTTTAAGTCAATTTTTAAATGATATTACTTTTTAAAGGAGTACTGTAAGTTTACCATGTCGGAGTTGAAAAGAAAAATAATATATTTGTGTTTAAAATCGAATATTTTCCGTTGAACATTCGATTAAGAATTTTTCCACATCCGTTGGATATTTTACACTGAACCAAAATAAAATAATTTGAAAGGTTGTGAAAACAAGTGGAAAAAAAGGATGACACTGAGGAATAAAGCCTTATGGTTGTATGATAGTGGTAAGAGGTGTGGTGGGTAAAGCTGAGCGTAGTGTAGTCAGCTTGCAAAACTGAACCTTGGTCGGGCCAAAGCTGAGCTGAGCTGACCCTTGCTATGCCACTCAACTGCCCTAAGCTCCGCTTCTCTCTTTTTTTTTTTTTTTCTGTTCTTTCCTACCTCGCCTTTTAGGCTATATGGAATTTTCTCAGGCTGGGGGATGAGGGGGGAATTTAAAATCCCCTCCAGCACAGAGACGCGAACTCGTACTTTTTTAATCTCTCAAATCTGTTATCTATCAAATCTTTAGTCCATTCGGCCACCCCGCCCCTAAACTTTAGCTCCACTTCTGGCAGGCTTGTCATTAAAAAACTTTGATTCGGTTTTGTAAGCTGACTCAGTTTAGCTCCACTGCTCTTTCGGTGGCCGGTCGTCCTTAACGCAATCTCCCACCTTTGCCCACTTTTTTTTTTTTTTTTTTTTTTACTGCCTGTTCATACAAGTCTTAAAAACTTGTAGACCTTTCCCTAATTAAGGGAATATTACCCTTCAACAAAGTGCATATTAACTTTTTATGAATTCTTTCATTACTAAGCCCAACTATTTTACATGCACATTTTATCAGCCTCAATGTGTTATTAATAATAATAGTAGGATTTAATAATTTAGACATACTCAATAGAGGCAAGAAACCTACCTTCTGCAGTAAATTAAGATCAGAGGTCATAGACATAACATTGGCCTCTAGTCAGGTCACAGCAAGAGTGGTAAACTGGCATGTATTGTAATAGAATGAAGAAACATGCTCAGACCGTAAATTAATCTGATTTGACTTGTCTAATAACTTTATTACTTCTGAGGAACATAGAAATCCAAAGTCTACAGACTGTGAAGTGTACCTCGCATACTTAAAAAAGGCATGCAAATGTTGTCCAAAAGTTATAAATAATACTTGGCAGCTAGAATGCCTCAATTCATCTTTAACAGATGCCATTAAAAACTCTTATTTGAGCAGCAATGAAATTCTAACTAAAGTATCCAACAGGAAAATAACCTGGTGGAACAAAGATTTAGATAGGCAAAGGACACTCACAAGAAAGTAGTGCAATGCCGCCAAAAGATCTGGCAATTGGGATGTCTACAGGACCGCCCTTACAGAATATCACAAATCTGTGAGGAAAGTTAGAAGACGGTCTTGGAGGAATTTTCGTCAAGAAATAAATAATATTCCTATGGTATGTGGGATAAATAAAATACTTTCTAAACAGAAAGATCAAGGAACACCGGGTACACTGAAGGTCAATGGTAATTATACCACTAATGAGAATGAAACCGTGATAGAACTGGCAATAGCACACTTTCCTGGTTTTAACACAATGGAGAAGGCTTGTATTAACACCGCACTCCCTAGCTATATAGCTAATCAAGAAGTGTGGAATAAAGCTAAAAATATTGTTACGGTAAATAGACTCGAATGGGCAGTAAACTCATTTTCTCCATATAAATCTGCTGGTTTGGATGATATCCTACCAATATTGATTCAAAAAGGACTTTCAATAATCAAACCCTATCTCTTAGAGCTATCAAGTGGTAGTTTAGCGTTTGATTACCGTCCCACAAATTGGAGGGGATCTAAACTGTGTTTTATACCAAAATTTGGAAATGGAACATATGACGATCCTAAGTCTTTCAGGCCAATATGCACGTTATCTTTTCTAATGAAGGCATTGGAAAAGATTCTGGACAGACATATAAGAGAGCAATTATTGAATTAAAATCCTTTACATTCCAATCAAATCGCTTACCAACCTGGGAAATCATGCAAAGCTGCATTACATGATCTGTTCTCAAGGATTGAAAAATCTATGAGTCCGAAGTAAATAATGATTGCTACCTTTATAGACATCGAAGGTGCCTTCGATAGGACTCCTTAGAAAACCATCATGAACACTTTAAGGACAAGAAAAATAGATCCACTTCTTACCAAATATTGGTAGCATGCTGGAAACCAGAATTTTTAAAACTTAATTTGGACCCACCGAAATGTGGATCAAGCATGCTGGAGGTTGTCCACAGGGAGGTGTGTTTTTCCCAATATTGTGGTGTTCGGTGGTGGACTCTTTGCTCGTCACACTAAATACTTGAGATTTTTATGTACAGGGATATGCGGGCAATATTGCTATTCTTATAGGCAAAAAATATCAGAATGTTCTTTCTGATCTGTTGAGGACTGCGACAGGAGTTTTGGAAGGATGGTGCAGGTCCAGCGGACAGAGTGTCAACCCGGCTAGGATAAATATTTGCATTTTCAAAATAAAGACAAAGTTTGTAATAAGTCTACCTAAAATTAATGGTATCCAGCTAACATCGAGTAAGGAGGTGAAAAATTTTGGCGTTACGCTGGACAATAAAATGAAATGGAATAGTCATGTGGAAAACACAACTAATAAAGCACTAAAATGCCTTTAGGCGTGTAAAAATGCTGTTGGGAAGGCATGGGGGCTTAAACCACGAATGATTTACTAGTTGTATGTCTCAGGGGTTAGATCTGTGTTCCTATATTAAACTGTTGTATGGTGGCGTGGATCCCCTCCTATATTAAACTGGTAGGCCACAACCACAACTGGAAAAACTACAAAGATTAGCCTGTCTAATGATAACAGGTGCAATGAAAACCACTCCGACTGCAGCTATGGAAGTAATGTTAGGTTTATATCCTTTGCAGTTGGAGATAGAAATGCAGGCCTTGAAAACTTACTATAGGATACATAAACTAAATTATGTTCGAAGATAAATACCCATGAGGGACATTGGAAAATATTTCAAAGAATTGAGGAAGATGAGGTGGTTAGGGGGGCAATGCACTCTGATACTCAGATCAAAGAATTTCTAACAAAGAAATATAAATCCATTAATAGGATTAATTGTTAAATTGATGGATCACTAATGGCTTGTGGCTCTGTTGCTGCCTTTTGGAGAAAGGATGAGCCAGAGGAAAGAATGTCTGTATCACTTTGCAAATATGCAACGGTATTCCAATCTGAAATATTGAGGATAACTCACTGTGCTTCAAAGTTGTTACTTGATGGGTTGGTGGGGAGGAAAATTTCCATCCATACTGACAGTCAAGTGGCAATACGAGCACTGGACAATTATGCAACTAGATCTAAAGCTGTTAAGGATTGTGTAGGGATTCTTAACGACCTATCTAGATTCAATATGGCAAACATTGAATGGGTGCCAGGTCACTCTGGCATTCGTGAAAATGAGATGGATGAATTGATGAATTGATCGATGAATGCTCACAAATGACTCTCATAACTCCCAAACCCATTTGTGGAATTAGTTTATGTCTAATAAATAATATAATTGGGGAGATTTATGGTGCTGAAGTAAAAAAATACTGGTGCTTGAAAAAAAAGACGTATTCTAGATTGTTCTTGGATGGAATCTATCCAAAGAGAAGCAACCTACTAATTAACTTGAGCAGGAACTCATTTAAGAAAATCCAGCGGTATATTCTGTACTCTGTAAACTGAAATATCAAATGTTCAATCTCCGGCTATCGTAGTCGTCTCTTTGGAGGTTCTGTGGTCAGGAGGATGAAACAGCTTATATTATTATTTGCTGGTGCGACATGTTTGCTGAACTAAGATTCCATTTATTCGGCATTGACAGGGTGATTGCCTTAAAGACAAAGAAGGTCGTCGAACAATTTCCTCTCTTGATGACCATGTTCTGGTGGCTTTGGTGGAAGAAAACCCCAGAACAACTGTTTAAGAAATTGCAAGGAAACTTAACCTAAGCAAATCGACCGTCGATGACCATATCAAAGCGATTGGAAAGGTAAAAAAGCTTGAAAGTTGTGTTCCACATATATTAAACAACTGCAAAAAAAAAAAAAAAAAAAAAAAAGCATTATAAAGTTTGTGCTACACTTCTTTGCCAAAACAAAAACGACCCTTTTTTGTCCAAAGTTGTTACTTGTGATGAAAAGTGGATACTTTATGATAACTTTCTGGACAGCAGCAGAACATTTTCCAAAGCCCCCAACTCATCAAAAAAAGGTGATGGTTACTGTTTAGTGGGCTTTATTTGGTTTGATAAACTACAGCTTCTTGTATCCTATGGAAACCATCAATGACAAATCTTATTATAACCGAATTAATTCAATGCATCTGAAATTGGCAATAATGATGCCATATTTGGTCAATTGGAAGGGGCCCATTTTGTTGCATTATAATGCCCGGCCAAATGTCTCACCTGTGGCTTCACAAAAACTGTTGCAGTGTGGATATGAAACTCTGCCACATCCCCCCTACTCCGGACCGATTTTTTTAGACACCTGGACCGCTACTTCCTGTGGTCCATCCTGTTACCTGACAAAAAATTTAATGGACAAAAGGAATTAGAAAATGCAAATGAATTAGAAATTTTGGAGTTTATAAATTCTATTCCGAGGGAAAGGAAAATTTGCCACTACATTGGCAGAAATGTATTGATAGTTGTAGAGACTATTTTGATTAAATAAAACAGTTGTATATCTTTCTTTTTTACTTTTTAAACCAAAATCCTGCATTATTTTCTGAACAACCCAATAGTAATGTATTTATTGGGATATTTCAAGATAGAAACATTTTATTTTCATACAGAGTGCTGCCCAATTGTATTGGGTTGCTAAATACTTATTGTATAGCATTATTTACAGCATACTTATTAATGAATGGACAATCTTCAAAAACTAATAAACAAATATACATTAGAGGTATTCATGCAACCAGTGCTAAGTATTGTAAATCTCTTAAATGTGTGAAGTCGAGAAAATTATTTACGTTATCTATATTAAATATGGCTGCTAGCACTCTCGATTTTAATGCAGCCTAAGGTCCTGTAAAGTGTTGTTAACTTTGTAAATACACAGAGAAGGTTATTGTAAGGTTTTGATTCTTTGTTTTTAGTACAATATCTACAGAAATGGAATGTAAAGACAGCTAGGCTTTCATCTGTATATTCATCGAGTTCTTTGCCTCCTGAATCATCTGAATCTTCATTCATGCTTTCAATAAAGCATTTTTAACCAAATAATCTATCAACTCAGTCTTAGCACTTCGCTTTGGCATTTTAAAAATAAATCAAAACGTTACTATAACTAATAACACATTAGCACAGACAGGTTATTTACCATTCATTCAAAATTTGTGTTGACTGCTTAGCATGATAGCACATTAAGATTGTAAAATAAGTGCACGAATACCCCTAGTATCTTTCCAATATATGTAAGCATAGTAAATTTTTTTTTCTCGTAACATTCAATTTTCTTTTCTTTCCCTTCTCTCTCTCACTCTCTCTCTCTATCTCTATCTCTATCTATCTCTATCTCTCTCTCTCTCTCACTCATTCTCTTTCTCTCTCCCTCCCTCCCCCTCCTCCTCCCCTTATACATTTCTCTTATATTTTTTCTCTCTCTTCCTAACCTAATTTCTACTTTCTAATGATCATTAAATTAATTAATGAATTAAATTTTATAAATATTATTTTTCTATCCATTAGTTTTATGCCAACGGAAGATTCCCTGTTTTGTGAGCTTCAAGCTCATATTAGCAAGAAAGATAAAGAAATTATTTCAGTGAAGACTAAACGAGAAATAGGTATTTTAATTTATTTTATGATAAAGTATTTGAAATCATAGTAAATTTTTTAAATGTAGGTGCCAGTCATTTGAATTCTTCCAAAAAATAAATATGATAAAAAATAGAAACAAACTTAATTATAATTTGGAGAAAAAAAAATATATAATTTTAATCCTGAAGCAAGGGATTATAACATAAACATAAAATATATATAATTGTGATGAAGAGAAGAATAGTTGGGGTGCTCAGTCAAAAAGGAAGGCAAAAAAATAAATTATAATATTTATTTTTTACATATGCCGACGTTTCGACCTGAAGTTCAGGCCTTCATCAGGGCTTTCTCCTTAAGTGTCAAGGGCAATCTCCTTAAGTGATTCTCCCCTATTTTTTTGCCTTCCTTTTTGACTGAGCACCCCAACTATTCTTCTCTTCATTATCCACGACAGTCAACCAATTACCAATTATATATAATTGTTGATTGATGGTTGACTGTTGTGAATAATTGAAGAGAAGAATGGTTGTGGTGATCAGTAAAAATAAAGAAGTGTATTTATTTAAAAATACTTGTTTATTTTTACTTTTTTTTCTTTTTTTTGACTGATTACTCCAACCGTTCTCTTTTAAAATATACACAAATTATGTTATATATAAAAATAAATAATTATGAATTTTTTTTCAGAAAACCAAATTAATAATGATAGTAAAAAACAACAACAAAGAAAACTTCCAAATTAGTTATTTAAAAAAAGTTTTTCTGTGGTATAATATTTCATACCAATAAATCTAATGGAAATATCTAGAAAAATAAATAAAGAAATGGCTATTAGGTGATTCTCCAAAAATTAAGAAGAGGTTATTCTCCGTGGGAAATCTAAGGTGAACCATCTGCACTCTACATTTTTAATGGCACTGTTTCATTATAAAACTATAAAGTTCATGATAGAATAAATTAACCAGGACTTTCATTACCAGTTTTTATATGGGAGGTGAAGCTATTTCCAATCCAGCTGGCAGCCGAGGAAGGTAGAAATCAATACCTTGTATCCAAGATTTTTGATAACGAAGATAAAAAGCTGTAAATCTCTGGAAAATGCTCGTTGATTCTCATAGGCTTCTGATAAATTCTCCAGACTCCTTGATTTTCATAGGCAGACTAGTGAAGGGCATATTGTAGGGTATTATCTACTAGCCTGAAACTTTAAAATATAATCACAAGATGGGTTGCATACATCCAAATTAATTTAAGTTCTCTCGGGGTGGCCGAGCAGGCTAACTTGTATGCACAGCGCCGCGCATTACCCAGGAACCTGATAACCGAAGTTGGAGACAATAAAATAAACACAACTTCACGTCCCAGTGCTCAGGGGAGTTTTTAACTTTGCCATTAATTCCCTGCCCTGAACTCCTGGCCCTGAAAAACCCTAATTTTATAGATTTTAAATCCCTCTAATCTAATTTCCTGAGAATAATTGTCTTTAGTGTATACTTCAAACTGACCTAAAAATACTTGTCACCATTGTTTTTTGGTTCTTTTATCATTCAGATTCAGTTATCCATATATACCTGGAGAGACTAGCTGAAGTGCACAGCTAGTGGAAATTAATGATCCTCAGTTTTCCTAAATTCAGTACACTGCACGAACATACACACAGAACATAACACTATTCTCAAAACTAACACAAGGTCACTCAGACTTCATATTCTAGGGTGACCTCTCGTAGGAAGCTGCCTCGGATGAGGGAGCAAGTTAGTATGCTCTAAGGAAGTAACCCCTCTGTTTGACTTAAGGACAGTGGGTTGAGAATTAAATAGCATCCTGACTGTCAAACAGGAAGGACCTATGCTCAATGTGTTCCTGAGGATTAGTCCCACATGTTTATTGTTCTCAGAGCTCAGTGCAAAGTTTGATTCCGCCAAGGTAAGACATATTTTTACTTTAGTGTTCCAGTTAGGTGTGGTGGCTGGTTAAGAGCCAAAGGGCACTTAGTGGCGAGCCAGAACACTTAGTGGACAAGAGCTCCCAAAAATTTTGAGTGGAAGTAAGTTTTGTATTATTGTTTTTGTTGAGGGAGGGGGGTTATGGACAAGAGATGTAAATGTCCATTATACTTTGGAAGTGAAAGGAACCCAAATCCCGAATTTTTTCCAAAACTTAAAAAAAAAAATAGACTACTCTTGTGTCAATTATTATGTCTTGAGGACAATTTCTAAGTTAGAAATGGCAGGATTTGAAGAATCTCAGGAACTCTAAGATAGATCCCCCAGAAGAAGATTTACTGAAGACGAAGGGAAGAACAAAATGGTGGTCCCTGATAATATAAGAGGTGGCCACATTGAGAGTAAGCTTGGATATTTTAACAACGGTGCACTACATGAGACCAACAAAGTTGGATTTAAGGAGAGATCCTGCAAATGCTGGGATATATGAGACTTTAAACGGGAGTCAAGTATGTTTGGAGAATTTTATTGCTGGCGAAGGATAGTTAAGAGTGTAGCAATCTTGAAAAAGATGAGGCAATGGTCTTGGATGGTCCTGAGGTGGAAGGGACAGCGAGTAGCCAATAATAAGTTTGAGACCCAGAAGAAAAAGAAAAGAGGCAGGAGGCTATGAAGAGAAGACCTAGGGAGAGTGCCTGTGGACCAAATACACGCTGGATTTAAAAAAGAGGATTGAAAATATCGGTAGAGTTATCTATGATAAAGTGAGGATACCCAATGAAATAGACGCCATGTTCATTGACAAAAATCAGAAAGCTAATATTGTTTATATCAATTATTACTTGGCTCACAAAAAATATATGAATTGCTTAATTTATTACTTTAATTTACTCTTAAATTATTATTTTCTTGACTGATTTATTTTTCTGCCTATAGATCAAGAATTATCTTCATCAAAACATGAAAATGAAACTAAACAACAGAATAGTTATGCTCCTACAATTGAAGAACTTTCTTCAGCTTTAAAAAATTGTTTGGAGGATACTGATCCAAGAAAGATTATGGAGCAGTTGTTAAAAGCTGGTAATTTAACTATATTTAATTTTTATTCTACTAATTAATTTTATGAATTTTTTTGCTTAATTCACCTCATCATGCTAAAGCAAGGGGCCTATTATATCTGCTAACTTAAGCCATTATCATATGCCCTGAAGTTATACATTTATCGCTAAAGTTGAACTGGCTAAATTCTAATGCTAAATAATGTTTAATTGTTGGTTCCATTAAAATTTATGATGATATTGGGTTCTCAAGATGCAATTGTAAGTTTAGGATCTTGAAATAAAAATTTAAATTAAATAAAACTCTTTTAAATTCAATTTAATACTGTACTTTAATCTTTTATACCTACCACTATTATTCTGTATCAGCAACATATACATGCTATTCTTAAAATCGTGAAAAATTTCAGTTATTATTTAATCCAAGATCAGTTATTATTTTATCCATGCCATTGACAGCAGTTGTGGCAGGCTTGTGTTTCCTGGATGCTGTTATCACAATTGTTGACATTCAACGGATTTAAGAAATTTAATACTTCAATTCATCAAAACAAATACACCAAAGCCACTATATAAAGAAATAAAATATTTTATCGAAGTGGCATAAAATATTTGGCCAAAACTATAGTTGATTTATTTGTATTTTATCACTTTTATAAATTGAAATATAACTTATACATAGTATAATTTGCAATTTTTTTAGGGAAAAATAAAGCACCTGCTGACACTGAAATCTTGGAACCTGTTAAACGCTGTGTTGTCAACTCTGGTCCATCTAGTAGTATGTTAATTTCATGAAAAATCATTTCTATATTTTAACTGCATGTGATAAATATATTATACTCCACATTTGTCACTCTTCTCTTCCCAAATTTCCTTCTAATTCATGATGTAGGGGCTCTTGATATACTCCTATCCCTTCATCAATCCTTTCATTGATTATTAACCATAATATTGACGTTTGTATTTATTTAACTGTGTTTTCATCAGTTTTGCACTTTAGCTATGTCTCTATCTGCTTGCTGATTTCTATCCTCATGAGCTATATCCTTTCTACTAATTCTTTTGACTGCACAAGTAGAAGCCTATCTGTGCATGAAATAGTATATCTTACCTATTATTGATTTCATATTATATTTTATTCATCTGAATCATATATTAATTTAAAAAACTATATAACTTCATTTTAATGCCCCTCTTAATAACTACAAGAAACTAAATAACAATTAATAATGATTTCCCAACTATAAAGATCTTTAGATAAAGAGTACTGGTTCCATTAGTGTTTAAATGTGCAGATTATAGTATTCGAGTTGTTGGTACCTGGAAGTTTTTAAATTGCATCTTTGCATACCAATGGTTGGTTTAAAAACTTCTTCTTTGCCCACTTTCGCATTAAAATCCCAGAATGATTTTTATGTTGTATCCAGGAATTTTTTCCAATTCATTTGTGCGGGTCCCATAGAAGTCGTCTTTAACGTCCGCTTCCTTTTCTTCAGCTGTGGCATGTACACTAATCAAGGATGCATTACAGAACCTCCCTTTTATCCTTGTCTTACAAATTCTCTTGTTTATTAATTTATAATCTATTAAAGCTTGCTTTAATGATTTTCTTATCATTTTTTTTTTTCTTATGCCATTCGTTGGTCATTTGGCCATCCGACATCTTGCTGCCCAGTATAATTTCGATTTTCTGATATGTATATTTGAAAATTTTTTGTCGCTTATGTCCCTCAAGGCAGGACACGCGTCTAGATGGTCTGCATCCATTGTTCCTAGATGACACAATTTACAACTAGGATCCTTGGCGACGCCTATCTTGTAGAGATGACTCTGCAGATAGTCGTGACCAGTGGCCAGGCGGAAGCAGGCAACTGCATCTCTTCTCGGCAGCTCAGCTGGGATCGGGTTATCCTTCAACCACTCGTAACGCTTCCCTTCCACTTTGCCGAAATGTACTTTTCTTATTTCCTCCTTCACTACCATCTTCACCATTCGCCGTATAGAGTCGTAAGGTTTTGGATGTATCGGCTGAGGCAAATCTGTTCCTCGCTTGGCAAGAATATCAGCCTCAACGTTACCCGGAATCCCACAATGGCTGGGGATCCACTGTAGGACCACATTGGTGCCTCGGTGTGTCAGGTTAGAGAGGAGGGATTTACATTCCAATATAGCACTCGATAAACATTCATTCGTGCTTGTGACAGCAAGGATGGCTGCTTGGGAGTCGATGAAGAGAACAGCGCTCTGATCCCGTCTTCTAGACAATGTTCTTAAGGCTATGAGGATCGCCGCTATCTCACCGTCGAAATTTGTTCCATCTTTTCCCACCGCAGCGCTGATTTGGAATTCTCTTGAGTAAACCCCTGCTCCAGCATTTTTAACGGCTGATTCAGCTGATCCGTCGGTATAGATATGGAACCAATCTTGAGGAGGGTACTTTTGAGCTATGGTTTCTAATGCTAATGCTTTTAGCTCGTATTCAGGTGTTTTTTTCTTATCCACCTTATGAAGGAGTTGCAGTTCTGCATTGCATGCGTGATTGTGAATTGGTAACTGTGGATGTATAAATGGTTCCCTTTCTTCGCAGTCAAGCCCTCTTTCTTCAAGTAGTGCCATCGCCTTCAGCATGAAGGATTTTTGTGTCTTGAGCCGTTGAGAGGGGATTTTGTATTGTTCCCAAAACTCTTGGTCTATTCTTTTCATTCGCTCATGAAGGCACATTGCAGCTCGCTCACGCCGTTTCGATAGAGGTTCTACTGTGGTCTGCAGTTCCATAGCCACAACAGGGGTTGAGCGCGGTGCACCCAAAATCAAACGCAGAGCTTTGTTCTGCTGGTCGTCTAATCTTTTCAGGGATGCATCAGCCGCAGTACAGATGGCTTCAGAACCGTATTCCAGTACTGGGCGTACATAGGTTTTATATGCAAGACCCATCACATCCTGGGTGGCCCCCCATGTTTTTCCTCCAAGGCGTTTCAGAAGTTTTAGCCTGTTTTCCCCCTTTTCCACCATCTCTTCAATTTGTCTGTTCCAGATCATTTTTGTATCTAACCTAACTCCAAGATATTTGCCTGCATAAGTTCTTGGTAAAGGAACATTATTGTAGATTATTTCCAGCTCGCACCCTTTTGTTGATAAGGTGAACAGTTGGAATTCAGTTTTCTGCGTATTTACTTCCATTTCATTACACTTGGCCCAGGTAAAAAGTCTTGCCATTGCCTCATTAATTGCTGCTTCGAGTGCTGTTATGTTGCTACTAGTCGCATATACTAGTAGATCATCAGCGAACAGTAGAGCAGATATTCCGGGTATTCCCTCGAGTACAGCCATTAAGTCATCAATCATTATATTAAAGAGTGTGGGGCTTAAAACAGATCCTTGTGGAACTCCTTGACTAAAAGTTCTGAAGCCTGAGCACCAGCCATTGTATCTTACTCTGAGAAACCTCTGGGCCAAGAAGGAACGTATGGCTCGGTACATTTTTCCACTGATGTTCATTTTGAGGAGTTTATTCAGAAGTACTTTCCGGCAGACTCTGTCAAAAGCAGCTTTAAAATCAACATATACTGCAAGAGTATGTTGTTTGCGTTGGAATCCGTCTTTTACATCCTCACTAAAACGAGCCACCTGCTCAATTGTACATCGGTGCTTCCGGAAACCTGCTTGCTTTGATGACATCTTGTTTTCTCTATCAAGGTATATCTGCAACCGGGCTAGGACCATTCTCTCGTAGAGCTTAGAAAAAACACTTGTGAGCGATATAGGTCGGTAGTTAGATGGGCAAGAAGAACATTTACCTTTCTTGAGAATTGGGACAACCTCAGCCTTCCTCCAAGCACTAGGATATTTCGACCTCCACACAGCATTGAGAAAATCTAGCACAATGAGCTTGGCTTTTGCATCCAGGTGAATAAGAAACTCTGGTAATATGTCATCAGGGCCACCGCTTTTTCCCTTCTTTGTTTGTGCCAGTGCAAGTTCAAGCTCTTCCTTACTAAAGTCGTCTTCAAAGAGTTGGGCTTCAGAGGAATTCAGACATAGGATTTGTGGTTTGGTATTAATTTTCTTATCTCCTACTGCTGGCTTATAATTAGAAGCCTTTGCAAAGAATTTACAAAAGTTTCTTGCTATGGCAAGTCCGGTATATATCTCTTTGTTATTGAACTTCAGAGGGTTGTTCCTTGGGTCTTTGCCACCATTTAGTTTTGAGATGAATCTATGTGCTTTTACTCCATCTCTTCGAAAATCCAGGTTGGCCAAATATTCTTTGAAAGCTTTTCTTTTGGCTTGAATTATATTGTACTTAAGGGTTGCTGTAAGTTGTTTTAGCCTTACTATATCTTCCGGTTTCTTTGACATTTCTACATCTTTTCTTGCTGCATCTCTACTATCTTTTAGTTTCTGTAGTTTGTCACTCCAGAATGGGGAGTATCTTTTCATAAATCCCCGAGGAATGGACTGCTTTGCACACTCGAGAATTGCCGCTTGAAGTCGGGTGCAGCTTATATCTACATTTTCCGTAATGGTTTTATCCGTAATGGCTGTGCGAGTGAGCTGAGAGAATTTATTCCAATTGGCTTTTTTCAAATTCCATGGGAGCATTCGAGGCACTGAATCATTATAAGACTTTAAATTGCCATTAAGATAGGCAAGCATTATCCTGTGGCCAAATGCTCCAGGTGGAGAGGCAACTGTGTGGGAGATCAGCGGAGCTATTCGTGGGTGCACCAATAATAGGTCAGGGTGGGAACTATTACCTTTGTAGTCCATAAAAGTGGGCTTTGAATTTTCGTTTTCCACAAATTCAATCATATTTGTATCGATAAATTCTTCCAGAGTTTTCCCCGCTGAATTTGAGTTTGTGTAACCCCAGCGCCTGGAGTGCGCGTTGAAGTCTCCATACACAAGGGATTTGTCCGTCAAAGAATCCTCCAGCCAACCCAAATTCGGTTTATTATTAGGGGGGTTATAGATGACAAATATTTGGTGGTGGAAATTGTTTGACCACAGATTGATTTCCACTCCTTCCAATCTATCATTTGCATCCATTTCCTTTTTAACTTGAAACTTGACCGTGAAGGAAGACCTTACACCAACAAGTATTCCTGATGCTATCTGCCTAGCCCTTGGCAGTGAGTAAATTTGGAAATCTGGATACCTGAAGTATTCAAGACAATCAGTAGCAGCGCCTGCCTCAACAATGCAAAATAGATCAATTTTATTTGAGGATATAAAATACTTCAATTCTGTGTACTTTTCGCTGGTGAGACCACCCGCATTCCAAAAAAGAGTCTTTAAGATAAAGTTGTTATGGCCTTGAGAAAGGCCGTTTGCGTTGGCCAGGCTTTGTGCTGGCCGCGCCATAAGTCGCTATTGGTGACGCTGGGAGTCTGGCGACTATGTGATCGTTTGGTTGGTTATCCAGGGGCACGACGAGGACGAGATCACACCACCCCCGATTTTCTTATCATGAAACCTATTCCAAAAACATTGTTTTCATCTCGACTATTTAACATTGTGTACCTAATCAGATCCCAAATCTCTACATTCTTCCATTTGCTTTCCTGTATTGCCACGATATCCACGTTATATTTATCCAGTTCCAATTCTAGATTTTTGCTTTTCCCTGGTTGGTTTAATCCGCTTACATTCCAAGTCACTATTTTGAGATCAATTTCTTTTCCATGCCTATATCGTTTCCTTAAATCACTCCGGCTATCTTTCCTTTGAGCCTTTGAGGGTTCATAATAATTTTGGTTTAAGGGGTGTGGGTTATTAGCCCTTTCAGCCCCCGAGTCAGATGGAAGGGCTGCCTCCTCTAAGCCTCCTGACCAGCTTCCCCTTCCAGGGCTTCCACCTTCCTAGGGGAAGTGACAATAAGGTATATAGTGTATGTGACCTTTGGCTGTAGTGTGCTATAATTAGTGTGCGTCAGAGTACTGTTCCCTCAATCTGGAGGGCCAGTGGCTGTTTGCAGTCTGATGACTGGGACCGCCACCTCCCTACACCACTAATTAATGTAACTAAAGGCCATAAATATCTATTTTGTGTTAGAAGAATATGAGATTACAGGAGCTCAACACTTATATAATTAAATGAACAGCTGTATAATTAGTGCTTATTATAGAGCTAATAGGAGAACTGTAATCTCCTACTCTTCTAATACTAAAATAAAATAAATTATGAAAGTCACTAAAAACTTTTTTATATAATAGAGAGATAAATAGGTATGTACCAGTTGAATTAATAAAAAATATTTTCAAGATCATTTTGATAAAGATTTTAAAGTACTTTAATATTGTGCTGAACAATATTTGGAATAAACCTCTTTTTTGGGGGAATATTTTAAATAAATGTCAGTTTTCTATCATTCTTCCCCTTTCTCCAACAAAATCCGACATAGGAAACTTCCAATAGCTCATAAGAATAGCTCATAGCTCATAAGTCAAACATGCTGGTTTTGAAATACCATTTCATCCCAGCAAAATAACTTGAAAATATTGTAATAATTTAAATAAAGAAAATTTTAAATTTCCATCAAATATTCATAATGCCTCCCTTCCACCTTATCTTTGTGTATTTTTTTTTTTTTTTTATTTCCTCCTCCACTACCATCCTCACCATTCTTCGAATTGAATCGTAAGATTTCGAATGGTCTGGTTGAGGCAATTTTGTTCCTCTCTTGGCGAGACTATCTGCTTCCTCATTTCCTGGAATCCCGCAATGGCTCGGAATCCATTGTAGGACCGCATTGGTGCCTCGGAGTGTTAGTACACAGAGGAGGGATTTCGCACTCGAAGATAGCACTCGACAGACTTTCATTCACGTCAGTAACAGCAAGGATGGCTGCTTGAGAGTTGATGAAGAGAACAGCACTCAGGACTTGTCTTCCAGATAGTGTTCTTATGGCTTTGAGGATCGCTGCTTTCCCACTGTTAAAAGTCATACCATCCTCACCCACCGCAGTACTGAACTAAAACTCCCTCGAGTACACCGCTGCCCTAGCATTTTTGACTGCTGATTTAGGTGATACATCAGTATAAATGTGAAGCCATACTTTTGAGCTATAGTTTCTGGTGCTGTTGCTTTTAGCTCATAGTCTGGTGTTTCTTTTTATATATGTGCAGACCAGTACTTAAATATACTTTTCATAAAATAAAATAAAAAGTAACATGAATACAGGTTGCAATAAGAGCTTACATTCTACTGTAGGCAGCTGTACTCATTATGTTTTATGTGAGGCGTTTGGTTTCAAAACCGATTACATCCATTTTCAAAAATGCTTCAGAACTGATCAAAAAAGGTTGTATAAAACCACTTTTGATAGGAAAATGGAATCTTTTGGTATTGATTTTTGGAAGATCTAAATGGTTTTGATACAAATACATCTAATTTTATAAAAATAAACATTAAAAACTTGTCAAAAATAAAAGATATATTTTTTAATAAATGGATGTAACTGGTTTTGAATCCTAACACCTCACGTGAAACAGAGGTATTTACGGGGGGAGGAGATGAGTAGAAAAACTGAGAAAATTCTGAAGAAAAAGGTAAAAATTTGAGAGAAAGAAAGGGTAAAATCTCGAAAAACCGGGAATTTTTTGGAAGAGAATTTTTAAATTCCAAATCAAAATTTTGATCTGATTTGATTTTTATTTTATTAATTATCGATTTCTAGCAGCTTATATTTCTAATGGTTATCATAATGATGTACATAATGCTAATTAAGTGCATTACTTTTACTGATACTAGTAATTATTAATTCTCCATAATTTTGTCCTTTATCTATGGAAAATAACTTTTATCAGCTTAGTTTATTGGTGGAAGTATTGTCGACCTAATTAGTTCAATTAGAATTAATTAGTTAGTTGGGGAAACTATATGTATATTTTATTGTTGTACTATTATTCATCCTATTTCATTAGTTGTCATCATGTTTTACTTAACCTTGATGAAGGTCTACTACTTATATCGAAACATTGGCAAACATTCAAATAACTTTACTTATTTTGGTTTTTCTTTATTGAACACATTAATAGATTAACCGACCCAGGTGTGAATGGACCCCCAAAACGTTCGGAATCAGGCATTCTGGGAACCACACCCCAACATGCTCAGCCATCCTCCCATCCTCAGTATTTTATAATAAGTAATTCTAATATTATGTTTATAAGTTAATCTAAAAAAACTAGACTGTGGTCAAGGTTTGTGCAAGATGCATTCTTACTGTGTAAACTACTAAAAATTATTTAGAAATGGATATATAGTTGACTGTTAAAACTGTAAGGATGAAAAATAATGTTTATTTGAATAATTATGTTTAATAAATGAAATGCTAATATGAATTTATTTTAAGTATATGCTGAAATGTTCTTAATTATAACTATTTAATTTGTTAACATTTATTTTATTTAGCTTTAAAATTGTTTCTTAATCTTAAAAGCTTTCATTTTTATTTTTTAGATAAAAAGCCAGTTACTTTTGAAGAATGTTTAGTATGGTCAAATACTGAAGTGGGAAATAGCAGAACAAAGATTTTGCATATTATCCATGCCCAAGAAGAAAAACCGGACAAATACAAGTTTTCAATTCAAGGGAATAGCTCATTTAAAGTAAAATTATTCTGTCTAAATTTATTTTATTACAATTTAGAAAATAGGGGAATGGTCAAAATAAGTAAAATATTTAATGAAGGCTTTCTTCATGCTTACCCAAACAAGAACGACAATCTCTTATTCATAAATAAAAAATAACTATAAAATTTAAAACAATGAAAGTACTGAACTTTTTTGCTTCTTGAACCTTAGGGAATTACTTTGGCCCAAACTGATAAAAATAGTGGAAACATGGTAAAATGCTAAAATGTTCAGAATTTAGAGCTAGTGCTGCTACCTGTTATAGAGATCATCAATGATATCTATATTTCTATAATAAGATAACATCTAGGTGTGGTTTAAAATCTTTTTGAATGGGTTCTAGTAGCTCCATGTTATCATACAAAAAATTTCAAATACAAAGAAAGATATGAAAGAAAATCAAAGTATGACCTGACAATACTAGTATTGAAAATTAAAAAAAACCTATGATCTAAAAATTAGGTTACTATTTTGTTTAACATTTTGACTATTTCCCTCCCTCTCCCTGAACATCATCTAGATTAGTACAGATGTGTTTTCTAGTCTGCATTGCACTAGTGTTACATCCAGAGCTTGAAACAGAAAAAAAACTTTTATTTTCAAAAAGTTTCGGTATTACTGGAGAAGTTTTTCAGTTGTTTTGGAACTATAACTTTTTCCATATCAACTTTTCAAGTACAGATTTTACACAACTTTTATTTTTAAACACTTTTATTTAAATATTTTGTTGATTTCGCTAAATATTTGATCTAAAAAATTATTTTTATCCATAGTATCTCAAACTAACGACTCATTAGAATCATGAGTAATTCATCTAAGACAAATTATAACTCTAATTTAAGGCCAGTTGGTTTTAATTTTTAGTTTCACTGAACTTTTTTTCGATAACTTTAACTTTAATAAATACAAGTTAAACTTTTACCATAAACCTGGAACTTTATTGCAAAAAAGTTCCTTAGAACTTTTATTTTAAAAAATTTTTTCCTAAAATGTTTCACAGAAACTGTTAAAATGGAACCTTTGGTTTTCAAAAAAGTTCCATAAAAGCTTCATGGTTATATCTGAAATAGTTTGATTTTTAGCTTATAAGCCATCCTCTCTTTAAGTTTATTACTATCTCTGAATTTAATGTATTAAATATTTTATATTTTTTTATTAATGAAAGTAATAGTTAGTTATAAATAATGATAAAAAAGGCATTGTTCCCAGAAAAGAAAGTGGCCATACTGTCCCAAAATGCCGTCCAAATGCGGCAATCTAATGAATTTGAGTTGGGTTAGTTTTTTGGTCACTGACACTCAGTATTTGGTTTAACTTTCCCATAATTGGTCTTCGATTAAAGTAGGACAATCAGAGGATCAAAAAACATGAACAAATAATTGGCTTAGACAAGTCTAATTGTTATTGGTACCAGTAAAGTATATTTGTTCAAGTAATTTACATGGAAGCCGAAAATCAAGTGCATTATTAATTACAGAGCCATCAGTAATGAAAAGATTCTTGCATAAAGCATCTGGAAAAATCATTTTTCTTTAGAAAACACACTTGAAATGGTCAGAGAGGGAGGGTTATTGATGATTAGCAGTGTGGTTTTAGGCAAGAAAGATCCACAGTTGACTTTATCTTCACATTACGACAGCTATTGGAAAAGAGTCACGAGCATAACATTAGCCTGCACAACCTTTTTATAGATTTGAAGCAGGCATATGAATAGGTAGACAGGGAAAGGGTAGTTGGGGATATCCCTAGGTATCCCACCAAAGCTGATGAGGTTCATTCAAATGATGTGGAAGGAAACAAAGCCTCAGGTAAGAGTTGTTGGAGCTCAGTCAAAAGAGCTTGATGTAGCAGGTGGACTAAGACAAGTTAATCTTTAATAATGGTTATAATTTTGGTTAAGACCCACTGTCGCCTATAGTATTCAACCTGACTCAAAAAGGTGATTAGAACCAATCTCAGAGGAAACATTTATAACAGGTTCACCCAGCACATGGCATATGTAGACGATGCAGCTATCACAGCTCGCACATTACCAGCCCTTTCAGGAGCATTGAAAGAATGGAGCTTGAGGATAAATTAAACTGAGACAGAGTAAATGAGAACATCTAGAACTCCTCAAGCAGGTCGGGAAGAAGAAGTACCAATTAATAGACATGACTTCAAACGCTGTTAGAGAGCTTCAAATATCTGGGATCTCTAGTAACAGAAGAAAATTATATAAGTGCAGAGATCAAAGCCAGAATAGCAGCTGGAAGCAGATGCTTTTTTGTGCTTAATAAGGTGTTTAAATTCCAAGTATTGTCTTGATCAGAAATAATCATAATATACAAGGCTATAATAACATTAGTGGTGACATATGGAAGCGAGTGCTTGTTGATGACTAAGGAGAGAGAAAGATGCTCTCAAGATCCTGAGAATTTGTGAGAGAAAGATGCTCTGAAAGATATTTGATCCAATAAACAGGGATGAACATTGGAAAACTAGAAAAATAGAGAGATCGAACAGCTGTTTAGTGAGCCTAATATGGTTATCATCAAAGAAGGAAGGTTGCAATGTCTGAACCATGTTGAAAGGATGCCAGATGAGAGGTTACCTAAAAAGATTATGAATGGCAGGCCAGGTGGAAAGAGACTGATGAGAAGACCAAGGCTGAGGTGGTTGGATGATGTAGAGGATGATTTAAAACAGATGGGAGTAAGAGGATGGCGAAGGAAGGCAGGATGGCTATTAATACTATGTGAGGCCAAAGTTCAACTAGTGCTATAGCACCATTCAGTTAGATGAGATGGCCGAGCGGCTAACGCGTGTGCACAGCTCCGCCGTTGCCTGGCAACCTGATCAAAGATATAATTTGATAAAATAAGTATGAGTTTGTGTCCCAGTGCTGGGGGATTTTTAACTCAGACATTAATACCCCACCCTTACTGCCTTGCCTGAGAAAACCCACATATAGCCTAAAAGGAGAGCAACAAAGAGGAAAAAAAAAAAAAATCACCTTCAGTTAGTTAATTTTAATGAATTTGTTAAAATCTGATCGCTTTCATGCTTTTCCGTATTTTGAAATAAAAATAAATTTTTCCCATGATTTTTTGTTACCTTGAACATGGTTATATCTAAGCCTGCGAAAGTTTCTTGGATTACATGGTAAAATTTTATATAACTATTTCATAATATGAAATTTAATAAATAACCATTAAATAAAGATGAGGTTATTACAATATTTATGGCATGAGTTATTTCTCTTAGAAAGCTTATTTCACAACTTAAGTGTTGCTTATAGAACAAGTTTTTTTTTTCGTCACAAGCCATGGCCTCCTATTGGACTACAGATTCCCACTTTCAAAGCAACTTCTTTGTTTCTATTATTGTTATATTTTTGACTGATAAAACATCTGTGAACTATGGAAAAGTAAATATGCACCTCACCGGTCTACATGACAATCAATTTAAGTGGACAAAGTAGTGATAGGTTTAGTTATAAATAAACTATTTGTTCTTTTTCATATTTATATTCTTAGTTTGTAGGGGGTGATGGGGAGGGGCTTTAGAATCAGAGAAGTTTCAATTTTGTTAAACATATTTGTCCATTGGATAATTAATCCTTGTTTCTTGTTTAACAGTAATCTATTTTTAATATATGGTTTTATTTCACAGATTGTTATTGACTGGCCAAATTCGTCTTCATTAAGTTCATCTGCTTCTGCATTAATTGATAGTGCAGGCTCTTATGAATTACCCATATTATTTCAGCCTAATAAGGTTGGTGAGGCTTCAGGTTATGTTATAATTGAATCACAATCAAAACAAACTTCAAAGAAGGTAATTTCTTTAATTACTATAATTTTTAATCATTATTATATATAACTTCAGTATCATTTTTACTCTACAAAGTTGTTTGCATACTTTTAAAATTAACACAATTTTGTTATCTAAACAAAAGATAATTAAATGTTTCATTTATAAAAAAAAATTAAATTATTAAAATAATAACAATACAGTATCAGTCAAGAGTTTAGGGCCACCACAATTTTTTTTTTTAAATTCATTACATTTTGGTATATTTTAAGCAAAACTACAGCTGTTTTTAAAATAAAACTAGAATAACCAAGTACTTAAAATAATAAACTTTTATAAGAAATAGTAAAAATATAAAATTTCTTAAATTAACCTATTTAAATTGTCTTTTAAAACCTATTATCTTTTATTCATACGAAAGTTCTCCCATATTTTTTTAAACAGAGGAAGAAAATAGATTTATCCTATTCTTGTTTCATTATTAAATTAAATCAGCCTAATGTGTTCGTATATTTTTATTTTTTTGTAGGTGCGTCTTAATGCTTTTGGTGGAAAAAGCAAATTAATTTTACATGGATTTACTTCTGATCTTTTATCTAATGTTCGTTATCTCACTTTAAATAATTCTTTGAAAGTTATGTTCACATTGGAGAATGTTGGCTCATCCCCATTGTTTTTTCATTTTAGTTGTGGTAAGTTTCAGTTTTTTTATTATATTATGATAAAAATTAGTTCCTGACTTCTGCTTATCCATCCCCATCAGGTCCGAGTCATCATCGGTTAAGCAGGAGAGCCGGTTAATATGGAGAGTATAAAATAAAATAAAAAAACTCCTATATTATTTTAACTTCTATATTGTGGAAAAATCTTTAAAGTTCTTTCTTTCAATTACACAACTCATTGAATCTGTGGGTGGGAGGGCAGAGGGGAGTCAGTCTCCGAATGGCTATTTAATATGAAAATAAGTAAAAGTAAGTATTTATTAACAAAAGGTATTTTCTTTTGAAAAATAGTAATAAATATTAGTCTCTTTGTGAACATTTATTGTTGCTATCTAGAACATGTTTCAATATAAAATATTTAAAAAGTAGAATAAGGCTTCATCAGATATCAATTTTAGTTTTTAACTAATTTAAAAACGGTGTTACGACTGAAGATAACCTCGTTTATCTTTTGGCTGTAAGTGTTATTAAGGAACATGAATATCATTGAACAGAATAAGGAAATAAAGTATTTGTTTTCAAGAGTCAAGGTTAGGTTAAAGAAAGTGTCACATAACATTTTAAACATTAAAGTCTAATTTTAAAAGAACATTACTTTTGAATAGTTTGTTTATTTTTTATTCAAGACCAACTAATGTTTTTGATGAAGTTTTAGTGAGATATGGTATACTGACAGAAAAGACTCTTGAGAAATAATATGATGGGATGAATAATGATTAATGAAAAAATTATATTTTCCACTCTTCTGACAATTAATAATAGTTTTCATTATATTAGGGGGGAAATGGTATTAAATCTGCAGTTATTGTTGTGTGTTGGGAATATTTTTTTTTTTTTATAATGAAGAGAAGAATAGTTGGGGTGATCAGTCAGATAAGAAGACAAAAATAAATGATAATATTTATTTTGACATTTGCCGACGTTTCAACCTGAAATTCAGGTCTTCATCAGGGCTGACTCCAAAGGTGTGAATCAGAGGTGCAAAAATAAATATTATCATTTATTTTTGCCATCTTATCTGACTGATCACCCCAACTATTCTTCTCTTCATTATTCACGACAGTCAACCATTTACCCACAATATTTTTTTTTTATAAATGGACTGTAGGAGTGTGATTTACTATTACCTGTCACTAGCACTTGTTGGCTGCAGTGGTTCTCCTCTATATTTTTTTTCACAAGGTCATTTCTGGAACTTATCTGAAATAGAACTAGAGCCACGCATACCTATATTGGCTGACTTCAAATTCAAGTTGTATGTCAACACCACCTCCAACTCTTATATGCTTGTTATTTCTCTCATTCATTACTAGATCAAATTTGAAAAAGGTTTTGATCTGATCTTGGTTATAATGGTGATGTCAAAATATCACATAGTGGATTTAATAAATTCCTTTATTTATAAATTACAGGCTTACTCCAAGAAAGTTATGATATAAAACCAAAAGTGGGTGTTATAAAAGCTTATGCTCTTGTAGATGTACATCTTTCAATGGTTTTTAAAAATAGTTCTCATATTGAATCAATAATCTCTTCTCAAGAAACTTATATGAACATTGGAAGCTTGAAATTGTTTTATGGTGATGAATCTGCCCGTCTCAGACTTCACAGGTATGTTGATTATTTATTAATTTAAAAAATCTATTTTGTATTGAATATATAATTTTTATGTTTACAGATAAATTGTTAAATTTGGTCAATGATGAAAACTCTATACTTAATTTTAAAGAATGTTTATTTTATTTTTTTAAGTTGCTGTTTGAATTTATTAAAATAAAAAAAATACACTGTACAGTATTTTAAAACTTTTGGATTAATATTTTACAACTGCAGGGTAGTCTTGATGCAGATTGTAGATCTGATTTTAGTTTTTCTATATCTCATTATATTTTTGTCCAAAGGACTTGGTTCATAAATATAAATCACATTTTCAAACAGAGAAAATAATTGAAAAGAAATTGGTTGGGATTGTTTGGATATTATAATGTGTATGATACTGTGACAACACTGTTGTTACCTCCATGTTGGATATAGTTGGTTTTGGGTGTAAAGCCAGTCACATGTATAAGTTACAGGTTAATATATGTGTTCATAATAATCGGTCTTATTATTTATAGCCAACATAAAACATGGCGCAGTCGAAAAATAGTTAAAGATAGTCAAATGTAGCACTGTGTTGGAGACATTTGGGGGATTCAAAATAAAATCTGTTGGTTTAATTAAATTGAAAATTAGTAAAAAAAATAAATCTTGTACAACAGATGAAGTTAGACCAACCTGAACTCACAAGAAGTACAAGCTTATTCTTTTAAGACTAGATTATTTGGGCAGGAAACAGTGGAACTCACATAGCGCCCTCTGTAATGGCTTACATAAATCTGTGAACTAAAGCACAGAAACGTATATGATGGTTGAGAGGTTTATTGTAGATAAATTATATGTCCTTACTAAATAAATGCTTAATTGAATGGGAATAGGGTACCTAAGGATAGTATAGTGCAGAGATAATAAATAATAAATATTAAATACTAATGGAGTAAGACTTAAATGAACATAAAATGCGAGATTAAGAAAAACAAAAATTAATTAAAGGAAAATGAGAAAGTTGTCATGGAAAAAGGAGGTTATGTAATTTTAAAAAATAAAAAAATATGGATAGGGAGGATCTTAAGAAATACGGAAGAGCTACTATGGATATTTTAATAAATTCAGAATTTGGGAATAGGGCAAGGATAACTTTTGTATCTCTGTTTTTAGATTTACTGTCTCTGGTTGAAGATGGATGAGGAGGGTTTCAGAGATGAGTCATTTGTCATGGTTTGGAAGGAAGTTTTGTCAAAATCAAATGTTTGGTTCAGGGAGAGAGAGAGTTCGTATAGTTTAGAGGCAGTAGAGTTACGGGAGGACACAGAATATTTACGTTGGGTGATGTGGCCTTTTAGGAAATTTTTGGTTTCACCAATATAAGAGGAAAAACAATTTGAGCTGGAGTATGGTATACGGTAAACGATATGAAAGTGATGTGAAAGAGGAACAGGATCTTTTAGGGTTATGTACAGATTAGAAAGTATGTTATGAGATTTAAATACAAGTCATAAGTGAAGAGTTGGTAGATCGTAAAGCTTTTTTAATGTTGTCAGAAAGATTAGGGATATAAGGTATAGATCTGTATATGGAGGTCGAGTGATTTTCATGGTCTTTTGTAAGTTTGTTGATGATATAGGGAGGGAAATTACTATTTAAGTAATAATTATTTATTATTATATAGTAATTTAAACTTATAAAAGACCATAAAAATCGCTCGACCTCCATAGTTAATCAATATGTTTTGACATATTTACAATATCTTAATTGTTCTATTTAAATCTATTATTTTATTTTCATAGAAATATTGCATTTATAGAAGTTTTAAAGTATAATTTAAAAGAATTTAAATATAATTTTTAACTTATTTAAGTTGCTGAATATGTTTCTTATGTTTCGTTTTTGAACATTTTATTATTTGGTTCGAAATTGAATTTATTGAAATGTCAGAATGTGGGGGGTTGAGAAAAAGTTGACAGCTTTGAAAGAACTTTTACGAATTTTTAACTCAATAAATGAATTTAGAGGGGCCATAGAAGTGTGCAAAGCATCGAAAAGTGCAAAAATGATTAATATCAAAAAGCACTTCTCAAACTCCGACTCAATTTAAAAATGGAGCTGAGTTGCCGAGCTGGCTAATGTATGTGTAAAACACACATTGTCCAGCAACCTGATAAACAGAAGTTTACAATATATAACAATTACGAGTTCCCGTTCTCTTGCTGTAGGGGCTGTAAACTCTGATATTAATTCCCCACCCTCCCCGCATAAAAAAAAATAATCTCAGTTTAAATACAAAACCCATTTGGTATAAAGAGACTCCCTTTAAAAATAATAATAATAAATTTATATATTAGATGTTTTGAGAACTCCCATGTATATGTGCAGATCAGTACTCAAATATACTTTTCATAAAATAAAATAAAAATTGTAACATGAGTATAGGTTGCAACACTCCCATTATACTATATGCAGGTGTAATAATTATTTTTTATGTGAAAAAAAAACTGGGAAAGGTTTGAAAAAAAAGGATAAAATCTGGGCTAACGAGGAAATGTATGGGAATTTTTTGGAGAAGAATCACTGGACACTCTGTTAAAGTGCTAATTTAGTGGTTATTTATGGTAAAAGGTTTGCTGTGATTTCATTATAAATATATGATATTTATTACTAAAATTATCATGCTAATAATAGATTATAAATCTAAAATCATAGATACATTCTCAATTCTTAAACTAATATTTTTTCATCTTTTCTAATATTTTTTTTGGGGTCCTCCCCTTCCTCGCCGTTAAGGCTATACGGGGTTTTCCCGGGCCAGCGAGTGTGGGCGGGGATTTAAAAGACTCCCTCGGCACCAGGACGCGAACTCGTGTCACTTTTATATCATTAGATTCATATGTCAGGTTGCCGGGCAACGGCGGTACTGTGCTCACGCTTTAGCCCGTTCGGCCACCCCGCCCACCTTTCATCTTTCATCTATCATGAGTCAAAGCGTGGTGAGTACTTGGAGGATGGGTGACCGTCCACCACGGAAAGACAAGCTGCACGAGATTCCATTCCCCCCCATGGGTAAGTGAGACCCGTCAGCCTACTGGAGGCAACTCACACTGCAGGGATGTGTGTGACCCTGTGGCAGACATAGCTCCTGGTCCTCTAGGTTGGAGGTCGGCCATAGGGCTAATAACCATATCCCGTCAAAACCACTATATTAGGAGAAAAAAAATGCCTCGGAAAATCTGACTGTCTTAACATGGTAATAACTTTGGCTTTGTATAACGAACTCCATATCGGACCATGGAATGTTCAGAGCTTATACAGACCAGGAGCCGCCCAAACGGTAGTTAATGAAGTAAATAAGTACAACATACCGTTAACAGCCATTCAAGGGGTAAGGTGGCCAGATGGTGGGGAAACCACTATAGACGGCTACACACTGTTCTACGCCGGGAGAAATGACAAAAATGGGACAGCTGGCACTGGATTTATAGTTAATCCAGCCGTAAGGAAGTCAGTAATAAACTTCACCCCAGTTAATGAAAGGATAAGTGTGCTGCGCGTAAGAAGTCGTTGGTTTAATATCACAATTATTAACGTGTATGTACCAATCGAAGAAAAAGAGGATGAGGTGAAGGACGATTTCTACGATCATTTAGAAAAATTTGTGGACCAGGCTCCAAAACATGACATAAAATTAGTCATGGGAGACTTCAATGCCAAGATAGGTCGAGAAACCCAATTTAAATCCATCATCGGAGACCAAAGTTCCCACGAAACTAGCAATGACAATGGAGTGAGATGTATTAGTCTGGCAGCAGCTAAAGGTCTAGTAGTAAGCAGTACGATGTTCCTGCACCAGGACATACATAAGTATATCTGGGTAAGTCCTAAAGGAGCAAAAAGAGAAATCGACCATGTGCTGATAGACAAGAGGCATCAAAGCTCCATACAAGACATAAGGAGTCATGGTGGAGCATACTGTGATTCGGACCATACTCTGATTAGAATCAAACTCTGTCAGAGGCTGAAGCTAATCCACCGAATTGGGGACCAAGTGGAAAGAAAGAGGTAGGAAGTCCGTAATTTGAAAAATCCTATAGTACAAGCTGAATTTCTAATTGAGCTAAAAAATAAATTCGAACCCTTGAACGCGGAAGGCCTGAAAGAAACAGCTAAGGAAGTAATAGGGATTCAGGAAAAAAGAAAAGCTAAGAAATGGTTCACAGAAGCATGCGAAAACGCAGTGGAGGAAAGAAGAAAAGTAAGAATAAAACTCCTCTGCTTACAAACTGATCAGGCTTTGCTGGACAAATACACATCCGCCAGGAAAAAGACAAACAAAATAATAAGAACAGCCAAAAGAGAATTCCTCAAAGAAAAATTACAAACTATAGAGGAAAAGTGACAGGCTGGAAATATATGCGAATTCTTCGCAGTTATCAGGAAAGAAAGGGTAGGATATAAAGCGAGAAATACGCAAATGTGAGGAAAATATGGTAAATTGATGGCATCAAAAGAAAAGATCCTAAGCATCTGGAAGAAACACTTCCAGCAGCTTCTCAATCAAGTGCACCCCACAAATAAAGAAGACATCGACCCACTTGAGGTTGAAAAACCAGATATTCTGGATGTGGAAATAGCTATCGGCAGGCTTAAAAGAAGAAAGGCTCCAGGGATTGACAACCTACCATCAGAATTGTTCAAGGAAGGGGGAGAAGACCTCAGATCCAAGCTGTTAGATCTAATCCAGAAGATATGGGAGAAGGAACGGATACCAGAAGCATGGAACACAGGGTTGATCTGTCCTATCCTCTAGTTTGAACGGATTTGAGGCAGGGAGATTGACTCTCGCCGATGCTGTTCAACTTAGCACTAGAGGAAGTAATAAGAACAGCATCACGCGAAGATCGAGGGGTGCACATGCACATCGAAAAAGTTGACAGATTCAAATACCTCGGCTCCACAATAACCTCAATAAATGATCAACTAAAAGAGATAGGCCAGTGAATAACAAGTGCGAATGGATCTTTCTTTTTTCTTTCAAAGGTACTGAAATCCAGAAATCTAAAAATAAGGGTGTACAACGCCGTGATTAAGCCAGCTCTGCTGTACAGTTGTGAAACCTGGGCTCTAACTGGCACTCTAGAAGCCAGAATTTAGAGATTCGAAAGAAAAGTTCTACGTAGGATAACAGGATCTATATGGGACCAGAACCTTGACGCATTGAGGAGAAAGAACAATAAAGAACTGCTGAAAGAAACAGGTCAGTCAATATCTCATGACATGAAGGCAAAGAGGTTAAGATGGGCAGGACATGTTGCTCATAGCAATCCATCAGGACGCCTTTGCACAACAATGAATGCCAGAGTAGTAGGTAAGAGACCACGTGGGAGGCCAAAAACCAGATTGATAGATAGAATAAACAAAGATACGGCTGAGCTTCATGCCGCAAACTGGAAAGCAGTAGCCCAAGATAGGCAGAGGTGGAAGGCTGGTTCAGGCGGCCAAAGATCTACAAGGTCTGTAGAGCCAATCAAAAAAAAATAATCCAATGAATAAGAAATTAAATTTTAACAATAATAATAATAACAATCAAATATAATGCAACAATAAAAACAAACATTACAATAAATAAACACGATATTGTACCAATGGTTCACTAACTAACTAACGCAGTTAAATTTGGATAGTCTACCTCCATTGCCTATTATTGCCAAAACTATTATTTTTGACTTGTCCAAATTTATATGCAAGTTCCACATTCAACAGTAATTCTCCAAGTGATTTATCATGTGCTGTAATTTAACTGAGGAAGGAGCTAATGTCACTATGTCATCTGCATACAATAAACACCTAGTATTTACTCCTGCGATTTCTAGCCCTTCTTCCAAATTTTCGTGTAAATTGTTTATGAACACAAATAGCAAAGGACTAAGAAGACTGATGTTTCCTGTCCTAACCCTACTGATGTTTGCAATAGGTTATTATAGAACTAACTTCCTAGTTAGTATTGGTATATTATGGGATGATAGAACAATAAAATTACAATATTTGGTCAACAATATGAAATTTTAGTTATCAAGCTCATTCAGTGAAAGCAATAAAAAAAAAAATGTAATTGTAATTATTTTTAGAATCAAATTATTACGATATTGACCATTTAAAATATTTTTCTGTTTTAATAAATTACAGATTGCTTTCAAGATGTAAAGGCCCAGAGTTAAAATTTGCAAAGGAGAGACATCCATTTCTGGTATATAATGATTTTCCTTCTTCAGAAGTTACTGTGTCTGTGGATGATCCTGAAGTATGTGTATTTCTCATTTTGCATATTATTTTTTTTCTAATTTGTATTATTCTTAATTAATATTTTATAGCATTCAAAGTATTTTTACTCATCATCTCGATGAGCTTGACTTTTACTTCCATCTATTTGTTTATCAACTCATACAACGAGATGAATTGAAAAGTTCTGTATTTTCTTTAAAACAATTGCAGGGATCTGGTTGGCTAGTTTACATGTTAGACATTATTAATACACTACTAATATTATACATCACAAGCTTAGTACACATTAAAACATTTTTACATTCTCTTCAAATAATTCTTTATTTTTAATGTTTAATAATTCAACAGAGTCTATTCCTCTCAGCATATTTTTCAATTGTATGTACCAATTTGTAGTAGACATCCCCCTGTGTTTACTCCTTTAGATGACAATGTGTGAGGGAATGAGAAGGAATAAATAATATATAGGAACAAGCCTACAGTTGATAAGACTTTTATACATTAATTTATTACAGTTATAAAATAAATTGTTTTATTATTCTTCTACATTGAAGACCAAGAATATCAAGTCTACAGTTATAAGACTTTTATACATTAATTTATTACAGTTATAAAATAAATTGTTTTATTATTCAGGAGTGAAAGTCATTTTATTTAGTTGTCCTATATGCCTCACAATTGAAGAATAAACCAGGTGAGTCAATTCATTCAAAGTGTTTACTAAGTCCCACATTTCATATATATATTCTTATTGTTTCTTCTCACACAGTGTCACAAAAGGTAATAGATCCCCGAATTCCCAATCACAGTTAAACACCCTCAAAAAGTCGATATCCAGTGCCGGGGTTTTGTTTTAATAATTCATGAGTGTAAATAACCTTAAGCCCCGATATAAAAGTGGAAGGCGATTCGCTATTCCCGCCAAAACATAATTATTTTACATTTAACTTCCTGTATGTTATCTACAAATTATATTTTGAGTTAATTAAATAATTAGAGGAATGTTTTGTTTTAATTTGTAAATATACTTTTGATAACCGGTTGTCTTCCATTTGGTCTACTTTTTGGTCCAAGCGAATCATTCTTTTAAGAAAGCTTGTTTCTAATGATTCTAGACCCGTTTCTACACGTGCATAATGATTGGGAGTATTGCGTGGCCAATGATAAATTGCTTTAAAATAACTCAAAGCAACATGCTCTAATTTTTACTTTCACTTACCTATATATGTAATATATAGTAAGTGTAAGTATTGCGATCTTGAAAATTTTTTAATCTGAGTTTTCAACGGAAATACAAGTTTTGAAATCTTCGGAGTCCAAATAACCAAGTCACGAAAAACGGTTTGTGTGTCTGTGTGTATGTGAACACTCTAGCTCGAAACCGAAAAGTCATACGAAACTGATATTCCATATTTAAGATAGATATATGCCTTAGATGTTCTGGCAACTTTTCCCTTAAAATCGGCTAACTGGAAGTGCCACTTTATATCAACACTGAAACACATTTTTACAATTTTCTCAAAAATGGCTCTAACGATTTTGATTAACCTCGGTGTATCATTGTATAATTAAGTGATCTTTAATACCATTTAGATCTTATCCTCGTTGATGTCACTTTACAGGGCTTAAATGTTCAATGTTCACATGCGTCTTCCTCTAAAATACCTTTAATATGGTTTATTTTAAATAATCAACTATCTCTCATTATTAAAAGTTACGAAAAAATGCTAAATATAACTTTTGAAAGAATTTGATAATTTAATAAAGAAGAAAAAAATAAAAATGCTTATACGGGTCGAAAATGAATCTCCGGAAATATAGGTCAGAAGGTTTACTTATAATATATCGTTGGAAAGCAGAGCATTTGAATACAATATCTAATATAGAAAGTTGTTGAAGGTAACGTAAAGTGGCTACAAAATTATAAATAATAATTTTTGAAAACTGATAATATTTAACGTAAATCACATGTTTTCAAGGAAATTAAATAAAATTTATTAACTAAATGTAAAATTTAAAAAATATATTTATGTTTGTAGAAAGTATTTAAAATCCACCTAATCAAGGCAATAGCATTGTTAAAAAAACTATTTCATTGTACTTGTGTGAAAGAAGTAAAATATAAAATCATTTCATGGATGTATAAAGTGTATGTTCATTTCATAACCTTAAATACATTTACTCTAGTTTAGTGATTATAGATCTGATATTATATTTAAATAATTAGGTATCAACGTTTATTCTGAAAAATTGTCATGTAACTTTTTAGAAAGTTAAATTAGTGAATAATTTGATAAATTTTCCCTTTGTGAATTAAATTTGAATAAAAGGCATTTATTTATATTTTGGATATCTTATATTTTGTTTGTAGCGTAATCTTTATTTTTCTATGGTAATAATTTCTTTATTATAGCATATTTAATAATTTCTTTTAAACAAAACATATCTTATATAGAAACCATTTTAAACCCAAAATGAAAGAAAATTTCAACTCTGGTTAATTAAAATTAAATAGGCATTAGGTAATTTTTTTTTTAATACTGTGAATAATTAAAGTTCTTTTTTTTTCTTCAGGAAAGTTTTACTGACCTTTTCTATAGTGGTATTGAAAATACGGAAATACTAATTAAGGCAGGAAGAAAGGACCTACTTCTAAGTTTAAAAGATTTAAATCAGGAGCATTATAAACTATTGTAAGTGTTATCAAAAAAGATTTATGAGTATATTATCTAAATTAGAAACATCTTGTATGATTTATGTTGTTATATAAAAGTATTTCAATTCATCTGTTAAAGTGGTCAGAATCAGTTGGTAGAGCTATAATTTTTTTTTTTTTAAATTAAGATTAGTTAATATTTTTAGGATGGATACTATAGTGAGTCAAACACTGTGCTCCTATGCACCAAGTCCTGGGTGTAAGTCTGGCTGTGGCAGACAAATATTTATTCTGTTGCATCAGCTATGGATTGATGAATGATCCGGGTGCACACCTAGCCTCTATAAGCCTCTATGATTGCTATATTCAAATTATTATCAAGTGTTTCTTGAACTCAAAATGTCTACTAGACATCAGGCTTAGCAGTATTAAAGGGTGATATTGTTCAAAATGGATACTATAAAGCTACCAAAAGACGAGTTGGCTTATGAATTTCGAATTCGTGGGCTTTCCGATATAGGTGACGCTATCGATTTGAGGAAGAAACTCGTGAAAGAGTTTACTGAGAATGTTCAACCACTCGAAGAAATCATAGCTTTATTGTATGTACAGGAAGAGCTAGAAATTTTTACGGGAAAATATGCAGCATTGGCTGAACGTTTAGAGGAGCTCTCGATAGGTGATGTTATGGAGTTTAGGTGTCTAGATGCACGACTGAGGCATCTTCATAGTTGATTAGGACTGTTAATTGTTCCACCAGAGTTACAAGAGCGCTGGAAACGACAGGGTGATCGGGTTACATTTTTAATAACCGAACTTTGGGAGAGGAAACCCGTGACTACACTACCATCTCTAACCACAATAGATTCTGCCTCTACATCCCGAACATTAGATCCGCCGTTTAAAGGACAAGTCATTAGGGATATAAAAGCGTATAAATGGGGTTTAAATTTCGCAGGTGATTCATTGGGCCCTTCTTTAAGTTCATTTTTAGAAGAAGTAGAAGAATGAAGAATGGCGCAAGTTGGCACATTAGCCAACAAGAATAATTTTGAGTAGCAGGGGACCTTTTCACCGGATCAACATTAGTCTGGTTCCGAATGAATCATTATCGGTGTTCTAATTAGAATGAGGCGGTCAATCGACTTAAGCAAGCATTCAGGGATCCTGATTGTGATAGATTGTTGATAAACGAGATCCCCGTCAGAGGCAGAGCGTTTATGAGTCATCAGGTCGCTTATGGGCCTGTCAACCCCGATGATTGAGAGAGAGCAGATGACTATAACCGAAAGGAATTTAAGGCCTAAATATTTGGTACTACTTGGCTTAACGTGGTACACAGACCTTGATGAGCTGGGAGAGATACTTAAAAAGTTATCTTTAGGCCGAGTGCATACTTGATTTAGGGAACCTCCGTCAAGCGGTTTGTTTGAGCCTGATTTAGGGTAATATCGAAATCAAGGTAGGAGCTTTAGAGACATCGCTCATTTTATACAGACACCATGCTAGAAATAACTTCAAATGCAGAAGTGGATGCTATTGAACAACAAAACGTTCCAAATCTAAAATGCGGTTTGCTGGAACTGCTGATAAACAGGAACACCGATTTTCAAGATTGCAAGAAATCTTGACTTTTTTTTGTAATGGTTGCGGTGAGAATGGCATTAAAATATACTAGTGTGGGCAGTGTAGGAATCGTAGAGCAAGTTAGTCTACAAAAAAGGAGAAACGGAGAGGCAGAGGGGAACTAAGTTCATTCCACACCTCTCTGCCATATGTGGGTTATCCTGTTGAAACCCATGAAGAAATGTTGAGGCGTGGGCTGAGAGGTATAAACTCAGCAGATCTGGTCCTCAGGATCAACAACCGTATCTATGTGTGAACATTCCATAATGGGTTTGCTTGACTTCCTGAACGATTTTGGGTAGAACTAGTTGAGAACTTATTAAAGGTCAATTGCACATGCAACAGTCTAATATTAGAAACATTGTGATCCCAAACGGTCAAGGATGCTCCATTTTAGGTGAAGTAAACATACCCTTTAAGTTAGAAAATAGAGTTAGGTTAATCACAATGCTAGTGGCTCCTGATCTAACTCTTCCTTTGATTATTGGCATAGATTTTTGGAAATCAATGGGGGTCATCCCAGACTTAAGTAATGATATTTGGACATTCATGAATCTCACTGACACCCCAGATTGTCATTTTCCAAGTGCATTGATTGTAGAGCAGTCCCTTACAGAATTCGAAAGAGAGCAACTTCAAGAAGTTCTGTAAGTATTTCTATTGGGAAGAACGGAAGATTGGATGTATGAAGAACTGCACTAATAAAATGCAGGTGATCATCCACCAATAAAACAGCAATACTATCCCATATCGCCTGCAGTTCTCATAGAAATAGCATAAGGAATTGGATGAGATGATCTCAATTGGTATCATCGAGAAAAGTAGTAGTCCTTGGTCCTCACCTGTTGTGATGATTCGAAAATCTGATAAATCAAACAGGTTCTGCGTAACTTCAGACTCTTCAATGCGGTATCAAAGAGAGATGCATATCCATTACCCTATTTCGTAATATCAACGATATTAGACTGTCTAAGAAATGCAAAGTATCTGAACACGCTGGATTTGAAATTGGCCTATTGGCATGTTGGGTTGGCTGAAGAAAGCAAAGAAAACACGGCATTTACAGTTCCTGGCCATGAGTTGTTTTAATTTAACAAGATGCTCTTCAGCCTTCATAATGCTCCCGCTACTTGGCAAAGATTGATAAACCAGGTGCTTGGACCTGAGCTAGAGCCATATGTTTTTGTGTGTTTAGACAATGTGGTGATATTAACACCAGATTCTCAGCTCTCAAGATCCTTAAAAGGGTTTTAGAGCGGATCAAAAACATTGGCTTATTCTGAATCAAGAAAAGTGTAAGTTTGCCTTCGAGGGCTGAAGTACCTTGGTTACCTCGTAGACAAGCATGGAGTTTCAGTAGATCCATAAAAGATTGCTAGCATCCTTAATTATCCTTGTCCGAAAACTTTGTCAAATTTGAGCTTTTACAAAACTAGCTTATTGGCACAGAAGGTTTATTCCAGAATTTTCTTTGAGAATGGTACCTCTGACGCATCTTCTGCACAAGGGTCATAAGTGGAGCTGGGGCCAGGAACAAGATTCTTCCTGAACCAAAAACAAAATTGGTTGAAGCACCAGTCTTAGCATGCCCAGATTTTACAAGGCCATTCATTGTATAGACAGATGCCTCTTCCATTGGATTAGAAGCAATTTTTTCTCAGGAAAGTAAGCATAAGTAATTGCTTATGCTAGCAAAGCTCTGACGCGAGCTGAACAAAAATTCCACAACTGAGTTGGAATGCTTAGCAGTCATTTGGGCAATTGGAAAGTTTAGACCGTATATTGAAGGCACTAAATTTACAATGATTACAGACCATCACCCCCTTATGTGCCTACATCGTCTGTAAGATCCAACCAATCGATTTGCTCAATGGGCACTATACCTTCAGAACTACGATTATCATATTCAGCATTGACCTGGGAAGGAACATTTGGCAGCTGATGCTTTATCTCGTGCATTAGATGGCACACTTCCAGACCCCATCTCAGCTCCAGCAGCAGTCGTAATTAATGGAGAGGAGACCTATCGCTGGAAACAAAATATAAAGCAAAAAGTCACGGACATTCCGGAAGAGTTCCCGGCTTGGCAATTACTGAAGTTCGCCTAATCAAACATGTTTTTAAGAGAAATCCATTAAAAGTTGGTGAAAACCAATGGAAGCTGGTGGTACTGACGGACCAAAGAGAAGCAGTTCTTAAAAAATACCACTAAGACCAGACTGCAGGACATATGGGGATAAATAAAACCAAGAATAGAATTGCCCTACATTATTTCTAGCCAAACTTGATCCGGGATGTTGCTAGATTCCTAAAAAAAAATGACACACCTGTCAAATCATGAAGCCAGAACAGAAAGCTCCTCCTGGATTAATGGACATGACGCATGTGCCTTCAAAACACTGGCAAGTAGTTTCCACAGATCTTATGGGACCCTTTCCACCATTCTTGAAATGGAATCAATATTTGTTGGTGGTGTCTGATTATCTTACCAAATTTACTCTACTTTTCCCATCAAGACAGGCAGTAACAAGACACATTGAAAACGATGTGTTTCTGATGTTTGAAGAAGCTGAATTATTGTATTGTAACAGTGATACTCAGTACACAAACGACAAATTTAAGAATATGCCAGAGAAATTCGGTGCTTCTTATTGATATAACCCGATATACCATCCCTAGGCTAACCCTACTGAGAGAGTAAACAGGGTTCTCAAAACCATGATATTGTCTTGTATTAAAGATAACCATCAATAATGGGACAGGCGTATCAACGAGTTCGGCTTTGTAGTGAGGAAAGCCAGTCACAAGGCAACAGGAAAAACTCCAGCCTTTCTTAACTTTGGGCGTGAGTTATTCAGCTACGCCTCCCAATATGGGGTTTGTGATGGATAAGGGGAAATGACTAAGATTGGCGAAAAACTAAGGTTAATTCATGGAAGATGTCCAAAGTCAGTTGCAGCAGGCCCAAGAAATCAATGCTCGATGTTATAATCTTGAACATCGCCCAGATCTAAGTTAATACTACACAGCCAAACTCGCACCGAAGTATGATGAAAGAATAAGTTCAACATAGTTTTGTTGATGAATGAGTTAGGAAGACTGGCAAACAGACACATCCACAAGTTGAAAGCCGATTCATCAGATACTGTAAATACTGCAGAATAATGCTCTTCATCGACCCCAGGAAGAGAGCAGATTGTCACAGTTGACCAAATAATAAGGAGATGAAAAGATAGTAATATTTAAAACACCAGGTGTTGTAATTTGAAGGTCACAGGGACCGATTATTGTGCAAGATTGAAAAACTTTTTGGAAAAATTGTGTTAGTTGTTTTGCTTAAAGTTGTTGTAATAAAGTTTGATTCATGAAATGGTATTGATCATTTAACCACACCTCCAAAGATAAAATAGTGTGTCTGTAAAGAACGACTCACTTCCCTTCCACTGGATAAGCTCTTATTAATTATAATCATAAAATTATAATTTTATAAATTCTGTAATGTTGAAAGAAACGTTACATATGTTTCATCTGTTGTAGTTTGGGGGAGACACTTTTTAGGAAACACCTAGCCTCTATAAAGTCTAAATTTATAAAGCTTCTGTTTTTTTATAAATCAGTACTTATGATAGTTATAAATAGTTTTATTACATTTCACCTTTTGTACCTTGGTGCAGTGAATGCCAATGTATTCCTAATTAAAAACTTGGTGCTTAAACAATAATATCCGCTTCCTCTGTACCATATATGTGTATATCGTTATATATCGCTATACATTATTGGACCAGGAGGAACCTCCAAGAAATTTTCACTAACCATTTCCACATTAGCCACCTGTGGGATGTTCTCCTATGCAGTATTGAGATCAAACCAGGCAGGTTACAAAACATGGTGTTTTAAGAATATTGATCAAATTTAATTAAGCAGAGATGCTGAAGATGGCTAATTCCTGAAACATTCTTCAATATGTGCTTTAAAATAAAGTAAATAAAATTTTGTTTATTATTAATATTTATTGGAGTCCCAACCAAGTTACATATAAAACCATATTGTTAATTTCTTTAATAATTACTGTAGTATAATATCTTATTCTATACTAAATGTTATCATAAAAACTAAGTGAAATTTACAAGAAAAGCAAACAATTATTTTCAGACTGTCTCACCAAAAATAAATAGTGCTCAGTAGTTATTGTGTTTTATAATAATAGTCATTGGTTTATATTTTTAACCTTACTAATTTACACAAAACAAAGAAAAATTATATCCTTTTTTCTTGACTTATTTATTCCATTTTTTTCTTTTTTTTAGGTCAAGGAGTCAATCACTCACTGTGGAGTATGCTTAAAGCATAAATTACTCACAATATTAATACAAAGAGGTCCTAGAGACTCACCTCTTTTTGTGATTTAGATGATATTTAGGTGGATAATTTATTCCTATAGGAAATTTCCAAACAGTTAAAATGACCATAGCAATGAACTGTGATAAAAATAAATTTAAAAAATATTGTTGTAAATGTAGTTACTATTTCAAAATTTTTTACAAATTAAAGTGTAATTTAGCAACTATTTTAATTCATTTTATAACCATGATTAATATAAGACTTCAATGTGATATATATGTATATGTAATTCCTAGGTTTTAATAAGAAGATTCAATAGTAATCAAAGCGGTTTATGTATGTTTAATAGAATGAATACAATTTGCTACCTCTTTTTTAAATTCTTTACTCATTCCTTTTTTTCTTTCAGTAGCACTTATTCCTTGACCTACTTCATAATCAAATCACTAAATGCATACAAGTAATACATATTTATGTTAGTGATGATTACCATGAACAGATAATAGACAAGTGCCAATTTTCATTATTATTATTTTGTCAGACAATGTTACATTATACTTGGGGACTTTTATCTAAAATAATTTTTTTTTTCAGTCATGCATTCATCTATTAAAGTGTCAATATGTTTACTTTTAAGTTTTATTAAATAATTATTTCAATGGAAATCATTGTTATTTAAAATAAAAATGAATAAATTAATATATATTATTTTAGTTAGGATATAATTGAAAAATGCCAAATACAAAGCCTTATGTTTAGAAAGTACTAATAAATAACAGAGAGATATAGAGAGAAAATATTCTGTATTTGTTTATAAACATTATAGAGGAGACCTTAGAAAATAAACATTTCTTGTACAGAAATAAAAAATTATAACAATATTCGTCCATACTAAACAAATTTGAAATAATAATGAGAATAATTTTACATACTATACAAATTTTGTTGAATTATATATTATATTATATAGGCATTCCAACTAGGGTTGCCTTTCACGTTAGGGCTGAGCTCCAGAGGTCGCGGTCTAGCCAATCCCTATCCTCACCTCCGTCTTCCCGGCGGTTGTCAATCTAGGATTTGGTTTGACCATCACTCGGTAAACATTCGTCTTAATGGTCGTACCATATCTGTCTTCACCGTCCAATTCTCTGGTTGTTGGATCTAGGGGCCTCCATACTGTCCTTAGCGACCTCGTTCCTAATTCTATCAGTCCTTGTCACACCTAGGCATCTCCTTCAAAAGTCCATTTCCACAGCTTGTACCTTTGAATATAGCTGGGATGACATGGTCCATGTTTCAGCTACATCCGTTAGAATGGGTTTTATGATCCACATGTATCATTGGGATATACAATACTTGCAGAAACACAACAATACAGCTAAGGTAGTGCATGAAGCTATGACCCAGAAAATGGAACTCGAGGATAAATATTAGAAATAGAAATAGAAAATAAACTTTATTCTGGGACGATGTCCCCTTAGAATAACAATAATGAACAGTTACAAAAGAAAAAAATAAACATCTGTCCAAAAACTAACTTAATAAAGTCAAACAATATATACAATTTTTTTTTTTTTTAACTTTTACTATAATATTTATTAGAGTGCTACCATTGGGTAGTTACTCAGCAAGTGTATTCATATCATTATATCAATTATGTCCAAATTTACTTGATGTATTTATGTAATACAGTTGTAAATGTCATAAAGAAATAAAAAAAAAAAAACTATAATATTTATGACTGTATTAGTATGAATACATTAAGTAAATGTGTACAGAGAAATATAATCACATGAGTACCCATTGGTAGTACTCTAATAATTTGTCTACATGAAGAGATCACGATCTCATCTTCTTTTCAGACGCCTCGGAGGGTTATCAAGAATCGAAGAGGAAGCAAGGTTAGAAACAAGAGGATTCGGATGGTTATGAAGTTTATTATGGAAGGATAGGTATCTGGATTTGGCCAAATCGGAAACATATGGAACATTGAGGTCTTTATGGATTATTTTATTAGTGACAAAGTAAGGAGCATTGAGGATTTTACGAAGGATTTTGGATTGTAAAGATTGAATACGAGAGGAATTTGATGGTTTAGTGGAGCCCCATAGCTCAACTCCATAAGTCCAAATAGGTCTTATTATAGTCATGTATATGAGTCGTTTGTAATTAATTGGAAGTTTAGAGCGTTTGTCCAGTAAGTGTTGGAGTAAGCGGAAATGTCGAGCAGTTTCTTGTCGTTTCAGTCTTGTATGAGGATTCCAAGTGAGACGTTTGTCCAGCTGGAGTCCTAGGTATCGGATTTGTTCTACAGGGATAAGTGGGGTGTTATTAAAGGATACTATAGGACAGCAAGTCATTGGTTTACGACGCAGGGTAAAGGTGATTTGATGGGATTTATTTTAATCCTCCAGTTTTAACACCATTCTTCAAGGTTTGTGATGTGTGATTGAAGAGTTTGGGGTGCAATTGTTGGATCATTAACTGACAGGAAACATGTGTCATAAGCATACATAGTGATGACAGTGTTAGGATGGGTTGGGATATCAGCTGTGTAAAGGATAGGACCAAGGATACTGCCTTGAGGAACTCCGGCAGATTGAGAAAAGAGGGATGAATAGGTATTATTGTGATTTACTTTGAAGTGTCTATCAGTAAGATAGGAACTGATGATAAGAAAATATGTAGGGGGAAGGAATTTACAAAGCAAATCCCGAATGCCAGACTTGATGAAACGCCTGTTCAACGTCGAGAAAAACTCCAGTGCAATACATTCCGAGCCCCAATGCATAGGAGACAACGTCTACCACACGATGACATTGCTGGATAGTGGAATGGGATGTGCGGAATCCAAATTGGTGATCAGGGATTATGTGGTTAGAATCTAGAATGGGATACAGGCGTTTTAAGATGAGCTTCTCCAGGATTTTGCCCATGATGGGTAAAAGAGAGATAGGACGGTAAGAGGATGGGTATTCTGGTGGCTTTTTGGGTTTATGTATCATTTTGACTACAGATAGTTTCCAAGGGTCAGGAAAATATGTGGAACGGAGCATGGTGTTATAAATGTAATGTAAGTAAGGAATAGAATGGCTTTTCGAGGAAGTAGCTTAAGAATATGGGAAGTGATTAGGTCGTGGCCAGGAGCTTTGAGGGAGGGTAATCTGTGAATAATATTGGATATTTCTGAAGGATGGAATGCTTTAGGAAGAGGAGTCATTTGGAGTGGAATATCCAGTTCTGTTTCAATACATTCAAGCTGATTTGGATTAAGGATATCAGGATGTGGATTAAAAGTTTTGAAGAGGTGATGAGAAAAAATTTGGGATTTTTCTTCATCAGATTTGGACCAAGTTTGAGCTTCAGTAAGAAGTGGATGATTAAAGTCTTTAAATTTTAGGAGCCGTTTAGTCGCCGTCCACAGTGATTTGTCTTTAAATTTTAGGAGCCGTTTAGTCGCCGTCCACAGTGATTTGTCACTAGGTGTAAGTTTTTCTGTAAAATGTAGTCAATTTTGAATTTTGTATTTTCTAATTTCTGATTTTAGTTTGTTAGTCTAAAGTGTTCTTAAACTGTGACAAATTGTAATATTTCTGAATAAAGTGTTTTTTAATAATAATAAAGTTTGTTAGTCAGTTGGGTATAATGAGTTTTATCTGTTGGATATCTAGTTCTATGCCACATCGATCTTGCTCTGTGTTTTTCCTTTAATAAGATACGAATATGCTGTGGCAAGTTAGTCTTTTGTAAATTGTTAATCTTACTGTTGAAGGTGTTACTGTTTATACTGTCTGTTATTGATGTAAGTTTTTCTATGGCACCATTAATGTCTTCTTTTGTCTTTAGCGGAATTTTCAAGTCTAGTTTGTTTCCCAAGTCATCACGAAATTTGTCCCAATTTACTCGTCCTGTAATCAATTTAGGAGATGATGGTTTAGGAGCATAGCTTGAATGTAGTGAAAGCAGCACTGGAATATGGTCTGAAGAAAGGTCATCGAGTGAATTGATTAAGGTTTGTGAGAAGGAAATCTGGGAGGTGATAAATATATGCAGGATATCGGGACGTTTTTTGAGTGATGTTGGCCAATGAGTAGGACTCATGGGCGAGAGGATTGAATAACTGTTGGAAGATGAGACACGCGAAAGGATGTTACCGCGGGAGTTGGATGTTCGACAACCACATCGTTGTTGTTTAGCATTGTAGTCTTCTCCAGCAATAAAGCGCGATCCGAGGGATTGGAATAAGGATTCAAGGAGGTTATAGGAGATGGAATAACCAGGAGGACAGTATACAGCTGAGAATGTGAGATGGAAAGGGCGAGTTAAATGGACTACAGAAGTTGATTGAATGGCATCAGTTGGAGTGGAAGAAATAAGGGAGTGGGATAAAGATTTATGGATAAGAATGCAGGAAGAGGGAAGTTGGATGGGATTTCGGAAAGAAGTCTGGTGAGGAGGGTAATGAGCTGTTTGATAGTCTCTTGAAGATCTATCAGGAATGTTGAAAGGACAGAATTGATGACGGAAGGTTTTTGGCTGTGAAGTGGATTTAGGTCAGGAGGATGTGATGGGTAATTTGTGAGACTAAGATTGTTGGAAGGCGGATGTGTCCGACGTGGGATGCGAGGAGTTGGATCTATATTCTGTTGGGCTTGTGATGGGAGGTTTACATTGGGATTAGGAACGGATGGAACTGGGTGTGGATGCTCTGGCGAAAGTTTGACCCTTAAGGGTAGATGATGAAGAGGGATTTGCTGACGAGGAGGTTGAGGCTGAGGTTTAGCAGTTTTAGGCTTGGATTGGGAATTCTGAGGCGCCTGTCGTCGAGGCTGCTGGTTCTTGATGGTGGTTTGGAGATGTAAATTTCTCGAACCCTGTTGAGGATAGTCCGTAGCTGTGAAGATGGATGGTTGAGGCTGGATGACTTGAGTAGGTGACGACAGCAGTGCTGGGAAATTTGTTCTATTATCGATTGCAGGGGCCTCAGTGCCACTTTTATGATCAAGGCTAAGGCTTTTCAACGCCATATTATGTGATCTCAGCTTCAGAAGATTTTTATAAACTATGCAACCTCTGTAGCTCGCTGGGTGTCCCTCGCCACAAAGTGCACATGTAGCAGCCTCTTGCCTTGGTTTCTGGCAAATATCAGACGGATGTGCCCCAGCACATTTGACGCATCTGGCCTGATGATGGCTGTAGGTCTTTGTCTGGGCTCTTCAAAACAGACTATTGAATATAAAAGACGCTTACGTTAAATATTTCCGGATTGTTTTTTGCAGGTTCGAGATCTATGAAAAATAGTGGTAGCGGGTATTTTTCCTTAGGATGAAGCACGGTAGCTATGTTCCTTACGCTATGGCCTATTTCTTTGAAACCCATTTTGATTGCGCTTATAGAAGTAGTTGGATGAAGCCCTCTTAAT